CAGGATTACTACGATAAAATTTTAAAATGCATTCATGTTACATGTACGTCATTTTCGAGGGCAGCACAGCACTCGTGTAATTTCAAACGATACACAGTAGTGTTCATTGTACCTTGCCCCTGGTGAGTGGTAGATATGAAAATTTGAACCATGTGGGCACATGAGTCAAGGAGAAAGCAAGAATCCGACTCATACAAAACCCAAAGCAAAACAAACACAAATTCCTTTGGTGCGAGCACGCATTTATAGCTCTTCACATACACACGCACAAGCGCTCGCTTGAGCACACAATCGGCGATTCACAGCTGAGAGCTGCCACGGCCAGACACTTCAAGCGCTGTGCTGTTTGCTGCGTTCCGGTAACACTGGACCTCAATTCCTAACGCCAACACTAAAGCCCTGCCCTCGATCTCCACTGGCCCACACACGGCTTGTGGGCAAGCCGCCTTCAGACAGGCAGCGTCGAATAAAACAGCAGAAAGGGAAAAAAAAGTCCAATGGAGTGAGAGAGAAAACAAGAGAGAGCTTATTATGAGTGGGCCAATGCAGATGGAACCAATTACACGCCGTTTCCTGAGCGGGTAGTGCTTTACTCATGTACGCCCGCCACTCCCTTCAGTACCCCCCCACCCCAGTCTCCGGCACCCTCCTCCCCACTCCACAACTCCGTCTCTTCCACCCACCTCTTCCCATTTGAAAACCAGGACCCTCTCCGTAAGCGCGCTTGTACAGGCAAATAAAAAGACAATGTTCCGTTTTTTTAGACTGGTTTCGACGACTAAGGCAAATGCTTTTAGCGAGCACCTAATACACACGGGGGCGCTGACATCAGCGCCATGCCATTTCATTCCTTTCGTGTTGGCACACCCACAGAAGGCATTTATTGTGCCCACGACCACTGGGGTTTCACATTTGCCACCATTTAGCACTTTGCTAGGAATCGAGCCTGCACCCGTTGCAACTGTAGTGCAGCGTTATGCCGAGAGCAGTGACACATCTCGTATCACTTCTCTCAAATATGAATACACACACGCTTCACATTTATCCTGATCAGAGCTGGAAATAGGATAATGATAATTGCCTGTTCTAAAGGCCCCACGGGTCATGTATTAAAGCCAAAATACCCTCAACATTATTTTAGTCTTCAAAGGATGTTGCTGGATAGAAATTCAAGCAATGTTGGTGTTATTACCGCTGCGGCAGAATGCTCTTTAATTAAAGATTAATGGACCCAAAATTAAATAAATCCCAACAGTTTGAGCGATCCCCTTAACTGTAACCTTTCATTTACATTCAATTAAATTGTCAGAAGCCTAACTTACGAACAAAAACAGGTAACACTTTAATACAAGGCTTTTACGAAAATGGCTGTTTTTTCGACCGCCACGCAAAGAAAGCACTCAAATTTTACGCCCAAGTTGCTCATGCAAGTTCAGGCATCCTACCCCGGATGCGGCTCGGCTGTCGGGTGCAGGGTGGCGCGTGTGCGAGCGACTCTTGCATTAAGGTATTGCTTCGCGTCGGCGCTGGGTGGTCCAGCACTGCCACACATACTTCTCGGCACGTTTGGCAGAGCGCAGGGAAAAAAGTGAAAGAAGGACCACTCGAGTGCTGGTCAAAGTTCCCCCATCACATGCCTTCTGGGGTCAGATGCTGCCCTGAAAAGCTCTCCAGTAATCATGCCAACAATTGCGGCTCAATCACTATTGCGATATTGTAAGAGGCAATGACGAGACAGTGGCGCCGGCGTCGGGTTTTCGCGTGCCCGTCTCGCAGCCCAAGGCTCGCCAGATTGAAATATCATCTGGGCGTGGGTGCTACGAGTCACATGGCACGAGTGTGTCTGCCTTCCTTTTCCCGACGCCTGTCGCCTTTGGTCTGCGTTACCATGTGGTAGTTCACGACAAAGTTCCTCCGATACACTGGAGAGGCCATTACGTGCCAAGTACAATACATCGCCCTTTACTCAAATCACATGGATTTTGCCCGATTTCATCAGATATCGGAAGCCAAGCAGGATTTGGGTCAGGATAGTGCGTGGACAGATAGAGGCTATGCACAATCACAGTTGTCATAGGGCTTGCTGGGTTACGTTTCTGGTCAGCAGAGAGCGGTGCAGCAAAATCCATTGTTGTACTGTAATTATATGCTCTCGCATCTAGGTACCCAACCATCAACAAACCCACTGCACTGGCCAGCATGAAGAATGGTCAAGTAACCCTGGAGACTGGCACGGTGTGGGGAGCCCTCATCCAGGAGTGTGTAGATAAAAGGTTATACACGTAGAAAGTGCCCTCTTTGCTATCACGCATGGGATGGCTGAGTAAAGAGCAGTTACCTGCATTTGCAATGAGACGAATTTATGGGAAGCCTGTCTCTTTTCTTGGAACTTTTGAACAGAAACTACAAAAGCAATGACGCCATGTCGTTATTATTGCGGGACTGCATAGAGTGTGATGCCATGTGGTTCAGTTCAGGCAACGCCCAAGCACAAGTTTAAGGGTGACCTAACACATTTTCAACGTGTGTCTCCAGAGGCATCAACGCGGTTGTAAAGCATTTCAAGATGACTTCGAGCAGGGGTTAACGATCCACCGATTCATCACTGATTTAAAATCGTTACCCTCACGATACACACATAGCACTGTGTACGTGAGAATCGATTATTGCACACTATTTCACATTAAGCGACTGCCGAGATATGTAAATGAGTCATCTGTATTTTACAAGAGATATAGCCTGTGAATTTCAGTGAATCTCATAATGTGCTATATGTAAACTTTCGGCACATAAATTAACCATTGCAGGTCAAACCTCTACTGAGTAATTTCCAACAGAAATTATGAAGATAACACAGTGAAATATTACGTAGTTAAATACTATATAAAACAATTATAAGTTCACTTAAATAAAACAATTCCAGGGGTTGTAACAGTTTTTCTTATAATGACTAACACTCTATAGGAAGTCACGAGTGGTTATTGTAGCCACTGCCATAGCAATGTGGAATTTACAACATTGATTCTGGGTTGCCAACACAGGGTGACTTGAGCAGGGAAACATTTTGAGTGTTCTCTTTTCGAGAGATTACACAGGGACTGCCAAACAGCTTGCTCGGGAGCTTTAGGGGGCTCTCGCAGCCAAAGTGCAAATGTTGTATGAACCATATCAATTATCGACGTAACTGCCACCCGTCAGAACACGCAGACGCGTTATTGTGGGGCTCGCAACTCCGACAGCATCTCCTCCTATCTCTCACTCTCTCATCTTTGCACATCCTCTACACACATGCACTTTGGAAGAAGAATAAGGATGAAGAGGAAGAAGAACGTTTAATAAACAAAATAATCAGCGGTTCCAAAATTAGTGCATGTTTACGATGCACTGGTGTATTCTCGAGATATTCTAACTAGACCTGTAATGATTCTCCCCTCCCTCTCCCGATTCACGATTATGGATCACGATCCTTTTCAAGATTCTTAAAAAAATACATTGTGCTGAATGTAGCTACATCTTAGTGACAGCAAAGATCATGTAACCCCATTTTATACAATGTGTACATATTCTCGAAAGCACACTTCAATACTCATATCAAAAGACTCAATTATAATAAATTCATCGACGCATCAATACACTCATAAGGTCAACCCAACTCCTTACAGACATGCATGCATGCACAGTATATTGCAAAATATTCCAGATCTGGGCGTGAAAATAAAAGATGCATGTGCCTTTAGTGCGCCTACTTAGATGGGTTTATTTCCTTCGGTAACGTCCACAAGTGCCCATCACACCAGCACCCTGATCAGTGTGTATTATCCAGGAGCGGCAGAATGTCTCTGAAGAGAGACTTTAGCCAAGTTTCCTGCTCAAAAGGCCCGTGGTGGCCTTTAGTGTGAACACCAGCGCGGACTCACTGCAGCGTCGAGTCTCCCGCCCTCCCCCCTTTCCTCGTCCCCTCGACCAAACCCATCAGAGATCCTGGGAATATAAATAGGCCTCGGCTGTCCCCAAAGATCACTTCAGCTACCATCCCTTCTCAACCGCCGCGATGCCGAGATGTTAACTACCTCATCTGGTATACAGGAGGTCGTGGGTTTGATCCCAACTCTGGCGCTTGTATATTTGGAGTTTCCATGTTTTCCCTGTGGTCGTGTAGATTTTTCTCTGGGTTCTCTCCGGTTTTTAAATCCACATTTAGAAACATACGTTTAGAGTATTTGGCTGATATGAATTTACACGTGAAAAGCCACTTCGTTGAGCTATCATTTGTGGCCAAGTCACTTCTGAAAAGGAGTGATATAGCTCAGTGGCCCTTACCTGCTAAAATAAAAAAAAGTGTGTTTAATAGTTTAGTTTCATAGTTTTAAACTCTCCTATCTATGAATAATACTCTTTGGTTCTTTCGGTCAAGTCACGTAGGTAGAAAAATTAAATAAAAGAAAAAATAATATATCACGACGTTTCGATCACAACACAAGCCGTCGTTGTGTGCCTAGTTAGCATGCCAGAAACAGACCACTATCTATACAAATAGGCTTAACTCTCAACACTACCAGCTCTAGTATTATAGCTCACAACCTAGAACCATTCGATGAAGTGGAATGATATTTCATTCATTCTGCCTATGAGTCTGGAATTACACTGGATTACACTTACACCAAGAAACAGAAAGAGGAAGACATGTATCAGAGAACAAACTTAATTTAGACGGATCACATTGACTGTTAATAAATGTAAGTTGACTTGAGCAAGACGTCTCTAGAACGGATGGCCGGTGGTCAAGAACTAACGATGGAATGGCAGCCAACGGGGGAAAACACACCCGGGAGGAAATCCACCGTGGAGAGATGAAGCAATTAAATCGGCTCACCTTCAGGAGCTAGATGGATTGTGGCATCACAGGACCACGAGGATGGAATTGGCTTTGGGAGTCTGTCATTAGCAGTGACGGATGATAAGAATGAACCTGGCGACTGTGTGCACACGGCGCAAGTTACCGGAACATGACGCCGAGTCCCTTGAGCACTCCGGACTTTTTGTGCCGCCCCTTTCCACTCTCGTCTCCATCCCTTCTGTCACCGCCGCCCCCCTTCTTGTCTCCCTTCTTCCCACTCTTGTCACCCTTGTCACCCTCCTTATTCTTCTTCTTGTCCCGTGCCGTCGAGCCGGCCGCGGGGCCTGGGGGAGGGCATCTCGCAGCAGGGCTGGCGCCGGCGTCCTGCGGGCTCGGGGACCTGGCAGCGGGGGCCCTGGCAGCGGGGGCCCTGACGGTGGCCGCAGCGGCCCCGGCGACGGGGACGTCCAGCTCCGGCGCGGTGCCCTGTGGATTGTCGCTGCCGCCCGACGTTGAGTCTCGGCCGCTCGCCTCTGCCTCCTCGTCTGCGGACGATGGTCAAAATGATCGAAGTGGCAGATGGAGAATGGGAGCAGGGGCGATGCCCAAGTCCGCCAACGAAGGACAGTAATGAGCGCGTAGGGTTTTACGCGCTTGCGCTCTATAGCGCTTCATCGTGTTTACAACTAAAGATGTATTCGAGATCAAAGGACGGTAATGATGCAGAAGGATAAGAGTGCCAGCCAACAATAATAACGATTATACCGTACCACCATGCAACACTTAAAAGGCCAAAGTGTCAAAGTCTCTCCCTGATACGTTGACATTTTCAGGAAGTTTATTGCAATACATTCTAAAGTTGTTATAATACTTGAAGTAACAAAAATCTAACGAATTATGTTTTTCATTAAACTCATTCGTTCGTTTAGAAGATTGCACTTATTCTTTTAAGTTATTACATGATGCATAATCTTTATATGGGATGCATTTTTTTGCCAATTTCAGTGTCTGGGTGACGTTAAAAGTTTTTCATCCACAGACATTATAGTGAATTTATTATGAAACCCTAAAAGCGTACACAAGCTATTATTATCGAGAAGTAAGCATTACGCAGTGCAGAACATTTCAGGATAAAAGCCCACATTATGTGAGGCAGACACACTGCCCTTCATTCGAAACTCTGCAGCTTGCAGCAATGCATCACCCTGTGCTCGAGAATGGCCTTTGAATGTGACGTTGTGTAACTACTTTTGAAATTATATCAAAAGATGTCTTTATCCATCATTGGAGCACACCTTTCGATGGCCTGAAAACATGTTTGTCCCATGTCAATTAATTCAATTGTTTAAGTTTCAGAGCTGGAATTTATCCAAATTATTATCAAGAAAACTGAGTTTGTGTGAAAAGATTTATTGTGTAGTCATTGGCGACCAGGCTGAGACCATAAACTATCTAGACTTGCGAATCTGGCATATTCGAAGGTGGCTGAAACTGGGATTCGAACCTAAAGTCTCAGAAGTGCCAGCTCCACCCTGACCCCTGGGCAACCTGGCCATCTCCACGAGATAATACTTCATGCTGGCCATGATGGGCCATATTACATACAGATGTGGCGGCTTCACAGCTGACGAGGCCCAGCAGTTGTTGACACTCCAGGGCACGTGGAAGTACGCCGAGAAATACTTCCCACAACCGTAGTTTTAACATTCACGTGTAAACTAGGCACATGATTCAATTGTAAATTGGCTGAGACATGTAATATAATTCTGCTGATTGGTGGGACATGGAAAACTGGGGCAACCGAGGGTCCCAAAGGCCTGGGGAGTTGAGGAGCACGCTTGTATATAGCCTGCGCTTTAGCTCCGACAAACGCACGTTGCTCGCTCTGCGGCGAGCGCATTCCCATGCACACAAATCAGCCTGCGATCAGTGCGGACATTCGCCCTGCTTCGCTCCCCCTCCCTCCTCCCAGGCACCCCCCTCCTGGCCACTGTGCCTCACACCCCCCCACCCCCCCCCCCCTCATGGCTAGATAAAACAATGTCATGACCCTTCCACGAACAGCGTTTTTTGTGGGTCCCTTGATGGGCACGGGCCCACGTGATCGATAGACTCCTCAATCCGCGGAGTGTGCGCACACACACACACATACCATTTGGTTAATATGATGCTGCAGGCATTTTTTTGGATTTACCATACTCTGCAGTATTTTTTTAATCTCTGCAATCGATGACATCAAGCCAACAAAGTATTCAGCAGGGAACCTTTTGATAATAAAAATATCAATTAATTATCCATTATTTAAAGCAAGGTTAGAACTCGCATTGCCAGGAAGGAGCAGTGGAGCAGTGGAGCAGTGGAGCAGTGGAGCAGTGGTGCAGTGGAGCAGTGGAGCAGTGGTGCAGTGGAGCAGTGGTGCAGTGGAGCAGTGGTGCAGTGGAGCAGTGGAGCAGTGGAGCAGTGGAGCAGTGGAGCAGTGGTGCAGTGGAGCAGTGGAGCAGTGGTGCAGTGGTTAGCGCACTATTCTAAGATTGCAATTCGATTCCTGGCTTCGGCTAGCATTAGTGGCGAGTGATATCCAAACTCATTCTGACCATTCCTTAACCAACTTGAACTGACCAGCATGGTGAAACATGCTCAAACAGTATCCATAATTGACTCAGCATCAGGAGGCCCTTATCCAACAGTGGATTGATAAATAAGTCATAATTCAAGATTAGTTTCGCATTTTAACGTTCAACCCCATCCCCCTGCAGTGCCCGCCATGACTTACACATCCTTAGTCCCACCAAGGCTCTCTTCATCTCAATTCAAAACAGAGAAAATGTAAGTATGCTCAAATAACCCCACTGACGAACAGCATGGGGAGACCTTCCTCCCTCTATCAGTAGATTGACAGAGGGGCTATATATGCAATGCATTAACCAATTGGTTTGGCCTTCTCACCTCGAGCCCCCCCCCCCACAACCCCTCTCTCATGGCTGAACACCTCTATCCCTCGAATGCTACGCATCTCCATCCAAAACCTCCCCGTACCGATATCAGTTCCCTGCTCTGGGCTGCCCTGCTCCTCCTCAGCTCCGTCGCCGTACGACTTGTCGATGGCCACACGGAAACTCTCGTTGCAGGCACGTCCACGGATCAGCCGTTGCCGGGGGCGATGGGCCGACTGCTGGTCCTCCCCCGCCTCAGCCCGGCCACCGGTCGCGTCGCCGTCACCGATGAGCGTCGCCGTGGCAACTGCCGTTTGCAGGCTCTCCAGCGACGTGGACTTCTTGAGGCCCAGCGTGGGGCCCACGTCTCGCCCTGCTTCGCCCGGCCGTGTGGGATGGGAGTGTTTGAGGGGGGTGCAGTGAAAGGGAGTGGGTGCAGGCATGAAGAATTGAGGGAGGGGGTTAGAGGGCCCAGGCAGACAAGTGTGGAGTGGTTGAAGGGGAACAAAGCAAAAAAGAGGTGAGAAGGGGATTGCATGAATCCACCGTCATTACCATCACACTCGCTCGCACGCTCGCTCACACTAGATTACCGCAAGACAAATGGCTCACTAATAGCATGGAAGAGTGGATACACGACACGTATGATTTATGAAACATGACCCCACTTCATCTATTAATCACACACACTAATTACTATTATCTCGTCAAATTTTCTTGATCATTCCTCATGTTTTATGGCAATTACTTCTGACATGACGACATATATTTGTATTGCATATGCGATATTTATGCGATGAAATTACACAAAAATATTACATGGGCTCGCTTACAGACTTAGTACCTCTACAGCATATGTCACGGAGCCTCTGCAGTAAAAACACATCTCCTGAAAACTACTTGTACGTTTTTGGAACTCCTACCGCTCACCTTCTTCCCCTCCCCAACACCTCTCCCCTTCTTTTTACTCACTCCACCTTCTACTACCATTATCACTTGTCCTTCCCACCACCTCCACTGACCACCTTCATCTCCACACAGGCTCACTGCTGCTTAACATCTCAATCACACCGCCTCTCGAAGATGGAATGGAAATGTAATTATTATTCATACATCATGAAACTTATGCCCCCCCCCCCCACAACCCAGAAACCAACCCAATACTAATCTTGCTAGGAAAGGCCTGAAGAAAAGGGGGGGGGGGGGCTATAATTGTTCTGAGCTGTGGGATTTTTTTTATTACATGAAAATTTGGTGAGTAAATATAACGCCTCCAAAAAAGTAAATGTAACGCCTCGAAGGAAGATATGGGGACCCCCAGCCAAAATTATTTATTGCGGACCCCAAATTTCACTCAAAAGGCCTGGTGCCAGGCCCAAATACTGCAGACGCTGCCCATTCACCCCACTCTCTGCAGGAACAGCTTTGCAGGCGATGAAGGTAGCAGTGGCCAATGGCAGAAAGGCTATGGGGCTATGGGTGGTAGCAGGGGAATGGGGCTGATGGGACCCAGACACAGGAGCAGCCATGTGGGGTTAGGAAAAGGAGGGAGCAGGGCTCCCCATCCTATGCCAATGAAGCATTCCGGGGACTGTTTGTGCTGGTGTCTCGGGCGCTTTGGCATCCGGAGTAATTTAGATGAGGGTGATAACTTGAGAAAACAGTGAGGCTTGTAAATTGATGATGTCAAATTGCTGGACCAGCTAGGAGGAAGCAGTCACCCATGGAGTGTGTGCGAGCACTCTAACACGTGGGCAGTGGGGCGAGGTTGAGGGCGTGGGGATCAATAGTGTTGCAGGAAACAACGCTTCACCTACCGCAAGAGTCAATATCAATCGGGCACTGGCAATGGAAGTTCCAATAGAATGTGATAACAGAAGCAGAGAGGGATGGGGAAATGGGATGCCTCGGGGCCATCTCGCTTGATCACTTCGGGGTTTCGGTGAGATGCAGGGTCACCCTTCCGTGACAGAAAAGCCTGACCCCCGGATGATCAAATAATCTGCTGCTATGCCGCTTTTAAACTGGCTCTCTGGGCCTCAGACAATAACAATAAATTCGAAGACTCCTATTGAAAGGTGACACGTACTATTCTATATATCAGAATGTACATATGTGTAACCGTTTTGTCATCTCCTGCTGGATGAGGGCCTCCCTACTCCGTGTGGGTCGTGAGGGTTATTTTATCATGTTTCACCACACTGACCAACGTGGGTTAGGGGAGGCAAGGAGCATAGGCATTGAAGAATAGTATGGTGCAACAATTGATGTTGCAGCCTACAGCACCTGAGTTATTGCATCGTGGTCACCTATCCAAGCACTCTGCAGGTTCAATACTGCTTAGCTTCTGCTATCTGACAAGATACGGTGACATCCTTACATAGTAGTGGTACCATGCAGTGGAAAACTCCCTATACAGTGTATATTAGTACAAGCTCATGCTTCTGAGAGATGTGGCACATGTCCTGCAAGGTAGAATTTCTCATCATTGGCATTTCTTATGGCATTGGGTATATAATTTGCACGTGGCCACTGTGGATGCCACTCGGTTGCAGATTTTTTGCATCTTTTTCACAAAACCTCCATTAATATTAATCTAAACTGATTATAACTAAATGGTTTACATTTATTAAAAATACGTGGTAATTGTGGTGCTTTTGATGTCATTGAGCACAACGGTATTGAACAATCCTTAAATTGTGAATGATTTGAACAAGAAAATATATTACCACCCCCCCGCCTCAACCCCTCCACCATGTAAAATCTCCATCAATAAAACATAATGTAACAAATATACAAATAACATAGAACGAAATGGCCGGGAGGCACGTGAATCATGAGACTGAGCGAGTGCTACTTAGTCCTGGGTTTGAATTCAGGTTTCAGCTGCCAATGATGAAACTTGTGTAGTAGAGTTGATGGAATCAGATTGGTCACCAATAACATAAATATATATCAGGATTTTCCACTTAATCTTCGTAAATTCTCGCTTTTTATTATATTGACATGAGATGAACATTTCTAGCAAGGAATATAATAGCTGTACCCCAAGTACACATAAATAGGTCTATTGAAGTGACTTCAGGAGTAGTTCCATGATTTCATGTTCTGGAATGGTTTCTCTGACACGGGGTGGTCCACCGCTATCTGTAAGAGTTCCAAACGAAATGAATATATTTTAATGACACTGTGCCGAGAGCTTAATTGGAAAATGGAAAAAGCAATTACATGCTTTGTTACTTTGTCTTTGACACAAGACTCAACACCTAAAATCACAATTCTATCTACATTAAACAGAAACTTTAATTAAATGTTTTCTTAAACACTGCCTTAACACCAGGAGTTACACCACCGGTTCTCTTTGTTCAAGTTATATTTGTGCAAGCTGTGCAGAAACACTGGAAAAACATGCATTCAAAGCCCAACAGGTTCCTTACAGTAGTGACCAAATTCATACAAAACAGTTGGGCTGCGGTGCCAAGTCGTATTGTATGGTACATGCCACCAAACATTGCAGAGTTAGAAGCCCTGTGAAAATATTCTTCACTGGGGGGGGGGGGTTGAAATATTGTCATAATTAATTAACTATGACACATATTATTCTTTATTTGAAGCTTTCGTGACTGCAGGAATCCATACTCTTTGGTTCTTTCAGTAAAGCCACGTAGGGAAGGAGGAGAGGTCAGCGCTGCACATGCGTCATCACGCGATTTTGTTATTGTCCTAGGCGATTTATTATTTATTTATTATATTGATTTCATTACAAGTTTCAAGGAGGTCCTAAGGAAATAAATTCGGTTAAAGTTATTTATTTATTTTATACCTACGTGACTTTACCGAAAGAACCAAAGAGTATGGACACATATTATTTTAATGTTCCTTTAAAAATTCACATCCATTACTATAACCAAATTGGCAAATTTCCTTTCATATGAATTTGATTTGAACAGGTTGAGAATAATTTCGCTTTAATAAAAAAAGGTAGAAAAAATATTATTATTCACAATACATGCAGGTGCATTATGCTCATTGGCAGTGCCAGGGAAGACAAAGCATTTGGTGAGGGGGGCATTTTGAAGGGGCCGAGCACTCAAGCCAACCAGAGGCTAAAAGTAGCTCTATCTCTAACCCTAACATTAACCGCATTAGCTGACCAGACCTTATCCCTTACTAGAATCTTACTAGCTAACCAGGCCCTATCCCTAACCATCACTCACTAACTGGCCTAAACCCTAACTCTACCTTAAAATTAACCGCACGAGCCAACCAAATGCCAACTCAAGCTTTACCCATTACTCTGATAGTGCATTCCTTACATTTATAATCATGATTTCACTTTCAATGATCACAGCACCCACCTGTGCACAGGCGTCATCATCATCACTCCACTGTCTGTTCACCTTGCCCAGCCATGCCCCCCCCACCATCCCTCTTGGGGTTCACACAAAAGTCCCACACGTGGCAACATCCACAACAAGCTTGCCTTGGGCCCTGCCCCCAGTAACGCATGTGTGCGTGCACGAGCATGCATAGGGGCATGCGGGCGTCGTGTGCACCCGCGCACACCTGTGTGTGTGTAGTGTACAATACGGAGCAGTGGCGCAGTGGTTAGCATTGCACTGCGCTACAAACCTGGCGAACAGAGTTTGATATTCGCTCATGACCAATAACAGTGGCGAATACGTAAATGGTGCGTGTCACACCACCCCTTCGTGTGCCGTGCTGGCCTCCATAGGTGCTTGCTAACAGCACTTGCTTCCAACAGTCAGTTTGGCGAGATGGTGGATCTGTTTTGTGTGCTTGGGTGTTCGTGTAGGAGGATTTGTCTTTTTTGCTGTGTACTGTACTTTCATTTTTACACTGCAATTGTTTGTGCAAGTGAGTATACATATGGAAATCTATATATATAAAAGTCAAAAGCTGTGTATGGGTTTGTGGCGGGGTTTGTGTGTAGTCGCGCTTGGCTCTCCAACGGGGGGGTTCACGTAAAAATATAGCCAGGTACCACGCCGTAAGCCCCGCCGTGAGCAAGCACTATTCCTTTTTCACATCCGTCAACTTTAAATTAGTTTAATTAGCGATTTAGTGATATTTTTGTGCACTCCCATTTTATGTATTTATGGCGTGCACGACCATACCAACTGACGAGCCTTTGGTGGGGGGGACAGCCCATGCCAAGTCGCACGCCTTCGGTGGGAGTGAGGGGGACATTTTCTTTTGGGTTAAAAATCCTATAAAAATACACTAAACGCTCAATTCTTCACTGTCTCATGTCCCACCCCCCCCCCCACCCCGATGCGTGCAGTTATTACTACTATGCAGTCGGTAGATGCTACCACTATAGGCCGTAGATATTACTGCAGAGCGGCCGGGGACATCGTGCCTGGGGGGGGGGGGTCAGGGGTAGCAGCCCAGCCTCAGCCTGCCAAGGTGCCATCTCGGCTGGCTGGACAATCTAGGCGAGGCCGGAGGCTCTGCACGAGACTAAGCCTCACCATGCTGCTCTGTCAGGTGAGTACTTTGTGCTATAGAGTCCATAAATACTGCTATAGAATCAGCATGTACTACTGTAGTGATAGCAGGTACCACCACAGTCGGTATGCATTGCTGTAATCATAGCAGGTACCACCGCAGTCAGTATGCACTGCTGTAATCATAGCAGGTACCACCACAGTCAGTACGCACTGCTGTTTTTAAGACCCGGGCAACGCCGGGTACTTCCCGCTAGTCCTGAATAAATGCAAACAAAAACATTGCACTTTTACATTTGAAAGGCACAAGCTTGGGTTCGAATAAATTTGATAGCAGATAATGCGTTTTATTTCAACTTGTTGAAATACATTAGTTTGGCTTTGGAATGGTTTTTATATAAGAATATTAATCAAAGTAACGCCGTTTACTATATCCATAAAAGCTTCACAGAGGGTTCTGAAATTCCACTAAGGAATGTTGATGAGGCAGAAACCAGAGTACCTAGGACAACCCTACGCATATGCTGAAATCTCTTCAACACCTCTCGGTCCAAACCTACAACATCTCGTACTCCCAAGCAGCCTTCCATCTAAGTACTAACCACGCTCAAAAATCCTGCTTAGCTTCCAAGATCCGACAAGATAACGACATGCAGGGAAATGTTCTTGTCCTGTAGCTATCAGAAGAACTGCAGTATTCTCGGGGTGCGATTGGAATGAGCCCCACTGCATGAGACGAGGCACCCTTGCCATGGACTCCTTCAACATTTCAGCCTGTACAGAACAGCAGCAGTGTGTGTGTTCAGGCACCTACAACGCATGCACGCACGCGAATGTGTGTAATTTTAAATCTACATGGGGAAGTTTCCTTGTGCATATACAAGGCATGCACATTGCTAAATGTCTTTACGTACACTTGAGTAGAGTGGCTGGGGCAAAATCCATAAGCGAGCGCCTATTAAGACCGAAAACAACACCCACAAACTCTCTTGCTATTCCTTTACTGATGTCCACATCGCATTGCACTGGGGGTAGGTATGTGAACGTGATGTTTTGCATTATAGAACATTGCACGAATCACAAAATGAAAAGATCCCTCTAAAACCAAACGTTGTTGAAGTGCTCTTAAACGAGCAGCTATTAAGACCTGGACAGTGCAAAAGTGGGTGGGTATGGCCAGCACTACAACCGACTGCCTTTGTTTCTCCAGTCCCGATGTCACACATTGCACTCGGTACTCATTTAAGTCGGCCCAGGAGAGGTCGAGGACTGGTTCGGATATCACTTACAACAGATGTTAGTTATGGCTGGGAATCAAACCTAAGGCCAATGTGCTAACCAATAAACCACCATTTCACACACACACTACAAAGGCACAGACACGTGCATGCACATATAAGTAGTGCTGGCACAAGAGTTTTACCCAATATAGCACACACGACCGTGCATATCCATCCCCACGTGATACGAGACATTGTGACGCGACACAGTGACAAACTTCCCTGATGAACCATACCACAGGCAACAACAGCACACTCGGCACCGAGCAAAGGGGGCCGTAACAAAAATAGAACTAGCATACGTTCATAATTACTCTGTGTAAATGGTACTTGCGGTGAGACTAATTTTGTACTTCGAAAAATCTAAAACCTCTTTCTATTCCTAACCTCGATTCCAACTTCTTTGACTTGTCAGTTTTAAAATGTGCCTTCTAACAGTTTTCATCAGTTGCGCAGTGTTGCCATGGGCCCTGATGAAATGAATTAATTTGGGGCCCCCCTGTCCAATTTCTCCCCCCCTCTTCATAGCCCGGCTCCCGGGGCACCTCCGGCCTGTGGGGCCCCAGTGCAGAGTTGCACCGCTCATACAATCTCGACAGCTACGCCGCTGACACATTGTTAGTTCATGTGACTCAATGGTTATTTTACTTGGGGTGGACGTTTGAAGAGTGAAGTAGAATTCAGAAACCCCGTGTCCCTATATATGGCATCTTGAGAAAAAGTTTGCGATAAGATTCATTATAAATCAGCGTCGTCTTGAGAATTCGACTTGACAAGTATTCATCAAGACACACAATGGGCTGAACCAAGAGACTTACATTTTGTTTTATTTTTTGAGTCAAATTTTATCAAACTTTCCGCATGCTTTGGCGTAGTATTATTATTATTGCAAAGCAACAATCGCAATCATCGTGGGCACCAAGCAGAAGCAGTCACCATGCAGTGCAAAGTGAAGACCAGCAGACGGGCGGGATACAGGTTTGGGTAGGGGATGGGGGGGGGGGCGATGAGGACGGCCGTGAATGAAGGAAGGTCACTCAAGCGTGAAGCAGAATGACCGCAGGTCGAGACAGTGGCTAGTGAGGTGGGTGGAGGGGGGGTTGGGGGGTGAGGCAGGTCATGGGGAGAGGGGATGGTGGCTACATGGTGGTGTTACACAACAACGAGGAAAGAGGTTTAAGAAATAGAGCGGGTACTGTACTTTTCCCCACAACACAGTAAAGCAGCACAAATCTGAATCTGAAAGAAAAAGAACAGGAAAGAAAAAACACATCGTCTAAGTTCATCATCTTAATTCGTGCAACAACTCTCAAGGAAAACACAACGCAGACGAGCCTGCCGCTGTTCACAATGCGCCCCAATCACGCTTCATTCACTATCAAGAGTCCATACTCTTTGGTTCTTTCGGTAAAGTCACAGTAGATATAAAATAAAATAAATCACGACGTTTCGATCGCAACACAAGCAATTATCAGGTGGGAAACCACAGCAAGAAAATTTATTTTTACACACTCCGTCTGTTGTTGTTGTTGTCGTATCCTTAAATTTTGTAATTCAATTTTAATCCACTTCCCAATGTGGTATCGACTGCAAACTCCCCCCCCCCCACATCCCCAGCTCTCTCGGCCTCCCACTTCCAACCCCGCCCAATTCCCCCCGTCCAACTTCACATCCATCTCCTCGCGTTCCACGCAGCGCTCCCCCCCCCCTTGCCCCTCCCCCCTTTCTCACCTATATAACCTCTTACCACGGCATCTCTCTCCCACTTCAAAAAAAATATATTGCTGTGGTTTCCCACCAGATGATGACTGCTTGTGTTGCGATCGAAACGTCGTGGTTTATTTTATTTTATACCTACGTGACGTTACCGAAAGAACCAAAGAGTATTGATTCCTGCAGTCATGAAAGCTTCAAATCTATCAAGAGTCCATTGTGTTACTTTTTTTAAGTCTGCAGAGACATCTACAACATGCTAATCATAATTTTAACAATTTAAATGGGGACTAAACAGCAGCTCCACGTGACCAGCAACAGCAAGTGACTAATCGTGCGCTCAATAATCGTGCCCGCTCGGTGTTGCCAAATCAAATGCTTGGCGATGCAGACCAAGAGCGCTCGGTGGAATATTTCCATTATCATGCCCGCTTGCACAACTCCTCCCTCGGAGCACGGTACTTTACAGGCCACATCATCGTACAGCCACTGATGCGTGCAACAGGTATACTGTCACTGACAGCACAGGTACATTCCTTAATGATAATAAATAATAACAAGGTCCACCACGATTTGCTCGACAACTCTTTAAAACGCGACGTGAGTGGCACACGCACGTGCCTGTAGGGATGAAGCTGCCCCCCCCCCCCGCCCCCCCCTCACCTGCACCCCCTCCCCCCGGAGAGCTCATTAATCATGGCACCAGTGAGGCATGATCAAGCCAATGGGTGGGCCCCTAATTAATGGGACTCTATTCGCCGAGGGGGCAATTAAGAGCTGGACGAGGTGAGCAGCTTACCTGTGTGCAACGGCGCCTCCTCCGAGGGACCGCCCATCAGCGGTAGCGCTGGCACACGAGCACGCACACACGCACATAGGTACCCAAGCACGCGCACAAAAAGAGCAGCAGCACATGCAGGCTCACGCGCACGCACACTCGCGCAGTGACGCAGCCGCACACGCAGGGAAACGTACACAAGCACGCACGCAAAGAGGACGGACCATCCAGTAGGCAAAGTGGGTTAGTAGCTGCAGCAGTCACTGCATGCATTCGCAGGCAATGGGCACCAGTGGATGCAGAGGTGTGTGGTGACATGCAAATGCTGGTCAGTGCTGCCACACGATCTATGGGGTTTGATGGCTGCATTCAATATTTGAACTGGGTGTGGCATAAACTGAATTGGAGGGGGAAAATACATCACTGGGTTCGGATACAAGGGCCAGCTCTCTTCCAGCACAGACAATGGTACGGGTAAAGGCATGCACTTCCACTAGCAGAGTGCCTGCAGTATTCACCGATAGGCAGTTGAATCATAAGCAAAGAGGTCGAACCAAGGACAGCCCAAAGCCTGATCATTGGTCATCATTACAGAACTTGCTCGGAAGGATGAGCATTCAATTCTGTGGCAAATGTACATTGCTCGAAAGCCCAACAGAGGGGGACACAGACATGAACTGTGACACGCAAGCCTTACCAGTTGTTCTCATCCCTCCCCAATTGCTGTCCTTTTTACAATGGCCCACCCCACTGGACGACCTAATCCTCCCCAAAACCTCACTCTCAAGATTTCTCATCTCCAGCCAACCCGGTGCTACCAAGGTACCACCCCACCACCACTCTGCAAGTTCCCACGCAGGTGCGGCGGTGGCAGTGGCGATGCTTCATCACATCCCTATTGCACCCCGTGCTGCTACTGCTCCTGTTCTCCTCCCCCGTACCACTGTTCCCGGCAATGCCCCCACCCTGTGCCAGTACCAAGGTCCATGCTCTTGGACTTGCGAGACTTGAGAGCCTGCAGGCGCGAGGCATCCGTGAAGCGCTTGCTCCGACGCTCGGACATGCTCTGCCGCCCGAAGCCTTCGCGTTCAAACGCCACACTCTGGGGGCTGCTGCAGGAGGAGGGGGGGGGGCAGGTGCGGGGTGGGGTTTCAGGGGTTTCGGAGAAATGTTGGGGGGCAGCGGAGGTGATGGGGAGAGAGAGTTGCGAGGAGTGCGAGTAGGAATGATGCAGCGTTAGGGTGGTAGGGAGCGGAAGACAAACAGATGATGCAATTATGACCATTAATATATTTCAGTACCTTTACCAAATCTAATAGGTGCATTTGCTAACTCCACCAGCACGATTCAGCATGCAACAATTCGATAATTAGATTCAATGATTCATCTAAACTCTTCTGCTCATCATACAAGCATCTGTTAGATATGCTAAATTCCTCTTGATATGCATATTCTTTTGTCAAGGCGCCCTTTTCCCCCCTTCCAACCCAGCTTATATATATGGTCCAAGCACGTGTGCTGTTTCATTCAGACGCTGTCGCCTCGACAGACCTGGTTTTCACCTGAGGACGGCTGCTTGCGCTGTGGCCGAAATGTCGTGAGAATTGTTTTATTATGTTTTATTTTTTATTATTTTATTACTTCCCTTCTACGTGACTTTACCGAAAGAACCAAGAAGATATAAAAATCGGTTACTAACATTCATGCTAACGATTTGCAAATGCTTCGTGGTGACTAAAGGGGGAAATAAAAAAGAGTGAATAAGAAACAATCCAAATTACAGTATTTTTTTTTGCAAAAATGTAATTGATTCTCAAATGAAATCACAACCATGAATTGTATCATAACAATTCATTTATAGATATTACATACAGACATCCCATATCTATAAAGGTAATCACTCGTTATGGGCTCATATATTACTTAAAAATAATGAAAAATCTATCAATAAATAGTATATACAACGGGAGGAACTGATGTAATATTAATCACGGGCAAACACTCTGCAATATGTGCGTTATTTCAAGTAAATAAAACGTGCTATAAAGGAAGCCCATAAAACGTCCCATTCGAGTAACAAAGCTGTCACTCGATCCTGGCTGCTCATCAAATACATTACTGACATTACTGCATCTTGAGGCATTCAATCTGACAGAGGTAAAACAAAACATTTCCCTTTGCATTTGCACTTCAAGTAATGCTGTACAATAAAATCTACGGACAAAGTGGATGGCTGAGAGCATGTGTGGCAAGATTATGTGACGTCCATTATTTGTGCCAATAAACATGGGCACTTTTCTAGATTTGAAGCGTTCGTGACTGCAAGGATTCATACTCTTTGGTTTTTTCGGTAAAATCACGTTGATAAAAATAAAATAAATGAAAACAACTACATTTTGTTGTTTTCATTTATTTTATTTGTTTTCATTTCTTTTATTTTTTACCTACATGAATTTACCGAAAAAAACCAAAGAGTATGGGCACTTTTGTTTCAATGAACCACATGCCCTCAAATGTGGCAGAGAACATGCTGTCCAGCTGGGCCCTGTTATGCCCTCGAAACGCAGTGATCCATTTATATGGATGAGAACTCACTGTGTGCTGGCTGTGGTGTACTGTGGGTAAGAAATTCAACAACAAACAAAATATCTCTGTGCTATATTGTGTTCTTTTTAAAGCAGTGTTATTGATGAATGTGTTGAATAGACAAAATAAGTTACGGGAAATATTGGGCCAGAAAGCTCAAAACTAGGCTGATGGACCAACATATTGTTTCTATTCCATTTGTTTATATGTATGCAATGAGACAGACTCATTGCTTATAATTGTAGTTTGGAATAAAATGCACTTAAAGTGAGAACATTTCCACTGGGAAGAAAACATTTTTAAAAATCGCAAGGCTCCGAACTGCAACCTCGCTGCACAGCTGGGGCGAGGTTGCACCCCGGCAGGAGCTGAATGCCACATCCAATGAATCTGCCTCATCTCCAGTCACAAATTAACAACAGACGTCAGAGCATTTCCCACCGTCGACTCTCAGGAAGGAAAAGGAGCTCATACTGTGTAAATTGTACGTTTCCTCTCAGACTTCGCCAAAGGACCTTGTGTGGCCAAGACCAATAGCTTCCTAGCATCTCCCGCCGAAGACGGCCATCCTCCCCACCTCGTGGTGCAGTTTGGTCGGCATGAGCCCTGGTGACAAAGAAATTAAATGGGGTCCCCTGCTGTCCGAACGCCACGCCCCTCTCCATAGTCATGCATGTAAGACCCCCCGGTACACTGGTCCCACCTGCGCTCGATAGCCACTCAACTGCTGCCATCACCCCCCCGCACACCAACACCGGACTCAGCAGGGAACCCCACAAGGCGACCTCTGGCCCCAGATTCCCCAATCTCCTATACCCGGCCTGGTTTCTTCCTCTCTCTCTATTTTTTTCCACATCTTTCCCCTTCGTGAAAGTCACAGTCACTCTGCCTTTGACCCCCTCTTTGAACTTGGTTAAGTTCGGGATGCGCATAGACAAGACGTTTCAACTCTAAAACTGTCGAGAAAAAATTACTTGAAAGTGTTCAAATATTCTGGTGACGAACGATGGAGTGACTTAAAAAAAATTGGGTGATATAATATTCACCAAGTGTCACTCATGATGATTCAAGCTGTGACATTTTGAGTGTCCGTTTACTAGTATAGGTGCTCGTTAATCATAAGCAAACCAACGAAGAAAAGCAATTATCTTGGTGCTGCTGCACAGTGGAGTATGAGACCACAGTACACACACGGTCATTCCGTCCAATTCCCACGATGTTCACTTGGCAAACGACTTGCACCGATTCATCTTACCTATAAATGATTCATCAGACGATGCATGCATAGAATCAAGTGTGTGAGAATCAATTTGAACATTTATGATCTATGCAGATGGTGTGTAAATGTTACATGAAGGCTAATGAAAATAAATAGATCAGACATAATCCAATGCAACAATTTTGCTACAATTCGATTTTGGACTCCGATCAATTCCAATTGAAGCAATGTTAAGCCGGTCTTCTGAAATGACAGATCGGATGGGTCGGGGGGATCCTACATTTCTGATAATGACATGGTATAATGGAAGCACTCCAAGTGGGGTACATGTAAAGCTAGTAGGGGTGTAACAATGCATGAATTCATCCATTATTCGCAATCCTTAAGCACACAATACACACATCGAATAATGTGCATAGGAGTGCATGTCATATGTTGAATGCAATGAGCTCACGTGACCCCCTCCAGCCACTAGAGGCCGCCACATTCACTGTAATTTCAAAACAAGAATCACTGATTTAAAGCTTTCGTGACTGCAGGGATTCATCTTCTTGGTTCTTTCGGTAAAGTCACCTCAGGTGAAGAGGACGGCTGCTTGCGTTGTGGCCGAAACGTCGTGAGAATTGTTTTATTATGTTTTATTTTTATTATTTTATTACTTCCCTTCTACGTGACTTTACCGAAAGAACCAAGAAGAAGAATCACTGAATGAATCTAATCCCATGCTCTGAATTTTGACAATTCGTTGCATTGTGAAGCGATTGGCGGCTCTGAAAAAAAGTATGACCCCCTACGTGAAGTGATAATTACACAAGGACAATTTTGAGCAGCCTGTATTTTATTCATAGCAAACTGGGGTCTTGTGGGCCACACACAGTCCACTCTGTCATTCTGACCAATCTCATCCCGCTCGACTGAAAACAGGACAACGGGCATTATTACATGCTCTGTTGACATGTTGATATATACATTCTGACCTATAAGGTCTGCAGGTGCCTAAGCGTGATGAACGAAAAACGGTTCATGTTGTTGAGCAGAAGGCAATTGTTTCATGCATTTTAAGTCCACATGTGGCAATACATAGATCATGCCCAGATGTTCCCATTAGGCAGTGACAACCCTTATACTTTTCCCAATACAAAAAAGCACGGTAAAACAAATAGACCATTCATCTGACCACCGTGTGCACACAGCCGATGCGTGCAATCTGGAAATCTGGGCCAAGTCGCTTTTTACTGTGCGTGTGGGCTCAATATTGAGGGGACCACGGTTGAGCTCCATTACCAATTGACGAATTATCGTCTCATTCTTGTCTCATTTCCCGGCGGTCTTCATTAGGGGCCCATGCGCTGATGCGGCTCACTGAACACGGGGCAGCCAAGCGGCAGCTACTTGTTTTTGATATTGGTGAGCAATTTGTCAGTGGAGACGACAACGTAAACAAAACAGCTAGCTTCCGCTGAAGGGTCCCAACTTCCACGGCACAGCGCGCACGCGCCGAGCACGTGAAAGATTAAGCGGCGCAGCCTGCCCTTGCCTGGCCCCTGCCTGCCCACTCACTAGTCCACCCACCCGCCTGCCCACCCACATACCCACCCCTCCTGCGTGCACAAACGATCGCCGAAACTAGATTGACACAGGAATCCCAATCTGGCAAAAGAACACGTCTGTTTTCCATGAGATACTGTTACAGGACAAAGCTGTTGTGGTGTGGGCCTATGCTAGTTCATTCATCCCAGCCGAATATGACAAGTTTTGCAAGTGCAGAAAAATTGTTGCGTTTATCGTTTGGCTCGTTGGCATAATTTTAAGTAACATTATCTTGTTGATGCACGGGTCATGTGAATTATTTAAACGCATAGGAATAAAAAAGTACTTTTTTTTCTTACACATGCGATTTAATGCATGTATCGCAAGCTTAACAATCGACTATAATCAACAAACAGATGCAGTTGACTGCCATCGTTCCTTTCAATGTTGCGTCAGGATATTCTATTACAAAATAGTTGAGTAATAGTTTATTTAAGCATTGAAGCCTGAGGCGTGGCCGCCCAGTCAGAAGTGCCGGATTCAGATCCGGAACTGTGTTTTACACAAAACACAGGACTCGCGGACAGAGCAGCATTCACAGTGTGTCACGTATGGCAGCCATTGCCCCCTGACCCGAGAAATGTAATCTCTGCACTTTCTTAAGGCCATCCAGGTCGTTAATCATATTAAACTCTGGCTTATATTGCACAATCAAGCCACTGTTCCGCACATTTAATGGACGAGTGCAGGGGTGTGCCGTCTGGAGGGGAGGTCGCCAGGTCAGTTCCAGAATTTGCCAAATGGTGAGTTTGTATGGGAAAAGCCAAAAAAAAATCTCAATCTAAACTTCATTAAGCATCCGGGTCCTGATGGTGCAAGGCTCTTTAGAAAATCACAATCCGATTTAGGTTCTGAACACGCAGGGTATAGTTTTGCCGTCTCGGGTTTAGGTTAACAAAATTGGTTGGTTTCTAATGTAATCGTTACGTGGGAGATGTTGCTCAACAAAGATACATTTTTCTCGCAGGAAAAAAAAAGTTTTCCAAATACCTCTACCAACCGCTGTGACATTTCGATTGCACCAAGGCATAATGAGTAATGGAAGTGTAAGCATGTGATTTTCTCATTTGCATTGACACTGAGGAACTGCAGTGTGGGACGTTGCAGGACCTGGCCGGTACGGTGTACGCACGCATCCGTCTCTCACCACTGCACCACACGGCGCAACCTAGGGACACTCACAACAAGCAATCTAAATTCACCAACGAGTTTCGTTTGGGGGATTATTCAATGCCCTCTTCCATTGCTGGAGAATTGTTAAAACATTTTAAGTGATGGAAATTGAAGTTTGGGACCCAAGACGCTCGAATACAATCACAAATGTAGTGTAGCTACTAACAATATAATGTTTAGATTTATATAGTGTCGTCGTTCATGCAAGTTCCATCTCGAAATCGCTGAGGAACCACTGGAAAGCTGCAAGGCAGCCAGGCGGTTAAAACTGAAACCGAGAATTACTCAATTGCCGGGAATTTAACTCGGATCACCGCGATCGACAAATGCACATGCGCGCGCGCGCACACGCACAACCGTTAGCGGAATCCCTGAACTCCGCCTTGTATCGCTCGCTCACCTCTCCTCTGAGGGGTCCTCCTCGTCATCTTTCAGCTCCGCTCGCCTCCACCCAGCCGCCCGTTCCGCTCGCGAAAAGTCCCCGCACAGCAGCTCGTCCCTTGAGGTCACTTGGGCCGAGGGCTCTGGCATGGATGCCAGCAGCGGTGGCAACAGCACGGACGCCTCCCTCCCCACACTGGGACGCGGCCAAGACGGGCCGTCCAGCACGGAGCGCACGGTAGCACAGTTGGTACCGGCTGCAGCGCCCGGTTCTGCCGGCGTGCAGGCGGCGCTCGGTGCTGGTCGAAGCGGCACAGCGGACACAAGGGAAGCCAGGCGCGGGAGTCATTTTGTTAATTTGATGTCGACTTTTGTTTGTTTGTTGAGTGCAATGCACTCTAATGTGTGGCGTCATATGGCTGTATAATATGTATTCACGTAGTTTTGTGTTGAACTGCGACTTAAATAATACATAAAAAAATATATTTGTTGACTCACGAGCCGAAGCCCGGTTACTTCCATTACCAGTGGCGCGTGATATTTGAACATTCCTGGGGCCTGCTTCGCTAAGCCACGCTGACCGAACTTGGGCAAGCATGGTCAAATATCCCTCAAATAACAAGGCGTCGGAATCAACGATGGACCACTGTGGCCCTGCTTCCACCCCTAGCCTTGCCAAGAGACGAACTCACCTCCCCCCTCCACACCCACACACTCCCCCCCGCCCCCCCCAATACCATCGTTTTGATGAATTGTAGCAATGTCATGATTTATTTAAAGAATTTGAATTTTTTTGCATTGTGCTGAATGTAGTAGCCGCTTGCAGCTGCGGGGGTCATGTGAACCCATTACACGCAGTGCACGTGAATCAAACACCGCGGATTCTTGCACACGCATTTCGAACTTAAAAATAATTCCAACACTGTTTGCCAATAGCGCAACACTCAACACACTACTACGTGGCATCACGTAACACGTGCGCACATCCTGCACCACAATAGCAACACAATATCGCTCTACTGCAGCGTAACACAGACTGGGCCCTGGTCACTGCTCGTAGGTTCATCCCCTTGAACGCGAGCCAAAAAATACTAACAACGTCCACGTCTGTCACCCCACTGTGCAAATGAGCAGCCACCACATGCAGAGCTGGTTAAAAACAAAACAAAAACGAACTCAAAGCAGGGTCAAAATTAAAAACCAGATTTTAAATAAACGGAAATGTGAAACCGGAACACACATTTTAAATCAAACTGCACTGGTTTCATCGAGCGCACGACGGAATGTGAACAAATTATGCAAGCTCGCCGAGCTACAGCTGAGTCTCTTTCCGAATAACAACGCAAAACGTCCACGTGGAATTGCACGAACGTCCCTCACAAAACCCGCTACCACCGGCCCACACTCCCCTTTGCTCTCCCGCCGCACCTTCCAAGCCACATCTCCCCCAGGGCCGTGTCGGCGTGCGGCACGCTGCAACAGCTCAAAAAATATCTTATGCTGTTCTGACATGTTGAGCGAATTTTTATTTGCTTACGCGATTATTAGCCAACCGTAAAATAAATTACACACAAGACTAAGCAGACCGGTGGTGCAGTGGTTAGCCTACTGCACTAGGAATATGGTGATCCTGATTTTCGATTCCCAGCCATCAGAGATAACTGTACTGATCGTTGCCACTTCACCAACCCGCACTGAACAGTGTGGTGAAGTAAAGTGAAACATACTCTTTGGGTCTTTCGGTAAAGTCACGTGGATAGAAAAATCATTTAAAAAATCACGACGTTTTGATCGCAACACAAGCAATCGTCTTCAGGTGAAAAAATACAGCAGGCGAACTGCTGAGGCAGGAGAAATATATACACGTAGTCATGAGACGACTCCCATGACTAAGTGTAGGGAGGCCTTCACCCAGCAGTGCATTGACAAAAGGCATAAGTTGTTATGAGAATGATGATTATAATATTAAAATATAAGGCAGGTATGGGGTTAATCCTTTTGATGCAACACAGCAATGAACTGTTCAACTTTAAACAGCTTTCGCAGTCTCCTAAAGGGACCCCGCATCTCTCATTACACCTGAACAAGTGCTGATTTGCCCGCATGCCCTTATACACCAATTAGCTAATGAGGCCAGGCACCAAGGGTACCAGTTCGCACATAGGTGGCCGCTTTAGCAGTTAATCTCGCCCGATGGTTGCACATCCCTTCCCTCCCGCCCCCACCCATTCACCCCACCACCCCCACCAAAGGCCCGCCTGATGCCTTGCAAACATCTCCCAGCAGGGTTGTCACCTGCATTTTCTGTCGGCAGCCTTCGCCCCCCCCCCCCTTCACCTGCGGTACCCTTTGTTCCTTTCCCCAAGCGTGCGTTTTCCCCACTGCAGCAGCCGCATGAGCGGCGCAGAATGCAGACTGCCTCTGCCCTCACGGGCAGCTTCAATGGGGAGTTGTTGTGCCCTGCGCGCTCATTACACACCCTCCCACCCACTTCATGTTGTGTGTGAACCGTCTTAAAATGCACGCAGCAGTGCACTATTTACAATAATTTTTATTTTGTGTGCATAAATCACATTTAACGCACATATGGCTTGCATACCGACATGAGATAAATGTATAGATATCCCACTAATTTATTTGGGCCTCCTTACTTTCTTCCCAATATGTTAATGCATATTGTGAAAGCAATGGCTCCATAACCGAAAGAGGAGACTGTATATATAAAAACAAATTGCATTTAGATTGCGGACAGATAATGTTGAAGCTTTGAAACAAATTATTGTTTTCTCCATAATTCATCAGAATAATTTTAGTGGGTATCTATATATGGATCACCCAGTATAAGTATACATTACACACTTACATTGCACACCACCACCACCACTACACCTTCGTGGTTTTGTTGGCTTTTTTCTTTAAAGGTCAGAAAACAGAATAGGTGAAATACCATATCATCCCACTGCAATTTGAAAATGGTGAATTTTAACAACAGATTCTAAATTACACTTAGACCCCCCATATCATGTCTGGAAATCTATATTGAGAAGCCGCTGTCTTTACCGATGACCTCAATGTTTTGACCTCCCGACCTTGGAACTGACCTGTGGTTGTCGTGGCGATGACCCCTGAGAGAGCCGGGGAGGGAAAGGGATGCAGGCGTGTGGCCATGGTGTACGACTGATTGCGCAGGTTGGAAGCTGTGAACACAAGACATAGATACTCCACGTAGCCATACCGACTCATGACGAACACCTATTAAGGTCAGCATGGCTCACAACAGTGGTGGTGGCCAGAACCACTTTATGGGTGAGACAACGACCTAAAGGACACCTAGGACTGGTTCAGATGATGACCACCTTTGTTAGTCATGACCAGAATTGAACTTGCGCTGTTGGGTTTGTAACAGTGTGCTAACTACTGTACGACTGCTTCCCACAAGGCAAAGATCCCCCCCGTATAGTTTTAATAGACTGTTGGAGCAAGTGTTGGTAGCGAGCTCTTATGAAGGCTGGCAACGGCACACAAGAGGGTTGGTGACCAGCAACACGCCCGACCAGCTTTGTCTCCCTAAGTGGTGATTGTTTACACACCACACCAGGTACTCATTTGAGGCTGAGTAGACCTAGGGGAGGACCAGAACTGGTTCAGATAATCGTCACTGGTGCTGGTTGTGAGCGGGAATCGAACTCGGGTCTCCAGGTTCGTAGCCCAGTGCACTAACCGCTGCATTACCACTCCCCACACACAAATGCGCGCGCACACACACACACATGCCATACCATGACGTCCCTGCTTATATGAGCAATTGTGGCTGTCTTCGTTTCCACTCGCAACCCCTCCTTCAGCATAGGAAACTGCACATTGTCATGGTGGGGGCACAGTCCATCTATAGCAGGATTACCTTTGACTTCTCTGCAAAGTGTTATTAATTGTATCGACTCCCGAGTCAAGCGCTCAAACCACAGCAGCGCCCAGCAGGATGCATTAACGTCACTGCGTGCTAACACGTTAGGTGTGCGCGCATGCATTAGGCACGCAACAGCGTCTCCCCCACCCCTCTCAACCCTCAACACAAAGATCCGATGGCACTGTTATGATTCAGTCACCATTCCGTTAAAGAATCAATTATTTAACATCTCAATTTATTTCCATCTCAGGTATACAGTTTTGTTTCCTCCATCAAGTAAATGTTAAATTAACATTTCACTTGTATACCATTTACATGTAATTTTCATACACCATAAAATCATCGATTGAGTTTACGTGGCATGAGCTTAACATGGATATTATTTGATGCGCCGTTCCGCACCTTTTGTGTGTCTTTGCTCAATCAGTCAACCCATGGCACCCGGGTCTGCCCTGTGACACCCTACCAGCGAGCCTTCGACACTTCACATGGCCTCAAAGTGCACATAGCCTGACGTCACTGCCACTTGGTGAATTGCGGTTGCTGTTGTGTTCACTGTGCACATGTGGAGGCAGGGGATGATGGGGGTGAACGTGTGGCGTACCGATGAGCTGCTCCAGCAGGGATGCGCGAGGGGGAGGGCTGGATGCGACGCTGCATGCGTCGACACCGCCGCCTACAACTCCGCCGTTACCGCAGCTGCTACCGCCGACTTCAACCGCTGCTGCCTCCACCCCGGAATCCACTCCAGCATCCACCGCCCTCTCGGGCTCCACGGGGCTCACGCACAGCACAGGCTGCGGGCACAGGAACAGCGTCGGCTGTAGAGTCTTGTGCCGGGCGGCAGGAACGATGATAGTCAAGGTCAATTTTTTTTCTTGCTTCAAGGAGCATTGAGGTGGTGCTTATTTTCTGTTTACAGCACAGAGCCAGTGGTGGAAATTGCACATTCCTATGGTGTGAGCGAGTGCATCTATAGGACAACCACTGTTTGCCAGTCGTGCAGATTAAAAATGTCACTAAACGGCTATTCAATTATGTTTTTACTTTCTCATGATATATATTTCTTTGTTACTTTTTAAGAGGCTGCCTGCTGCTGTCCAATGCTCACTCACAATTTGACCCGTCTCGCCAGATCTCGAAAGGTAAGGAAAGTGTAGCCTAGTTAGTACTTGGATGAGTAACCAACATGCATGACGTGAATTTATAGCTTTCTGCAGGTTTATGTTGTAGGCAGCAAGAAGGCAGTTTAGCAAAATGCATTGTTGAACTGTATTTATTTGCCCCGGCATATGTACTCCCTGCCTTTTACTAAATGGCACTTATGAGTGTGGCGGAGTATAGTCAGATAATTCCCACGATCCACACTGTGTGGGGAGGCCCTCGCTTGCATGGAATCGAGTGTGTCAGCATAATATTATTCTTTGGTTCTTTCGGTAAAGTCACGTATACGTGACTTTACCGAAAGAACCAAAGAATAATTCCTGCAGTCACGATAGCTCCAAAGTTAAGATTCAGCATAATATTATTTCAATGTAAATTTATCCCCCAAGAGTGCCAGCAAAATATTATTTATTAAAAAAAAAAATACTACTTGCCTAGTGGCTCAGCAGGAGAGTGAAAGGCTCGCAATCTGAAGTTTGCCAGTTCAAACCCTGGTTGATGGGCGAGTCAACCAATTATCCCTCTCGGGTCAATAAAAAAAAAGAGTACCACTTTGCATGGAAGTCAACATCGTAGGCATGTGGAATTTCTTTCACTGGCTCAGGGCTGGGAATCACTAACTTTTTAAAAAGTACATATATCTATTTTTTTCATTTCTACTGGGATTCGTACAGCAACATTTTTGTTAAAGCACAATTGCTCAGATGGAAAAGCTCATTCAGCATGGAAATCCCCAATCTAACAAGGAAGTATCTGCACTGGACAGCAAATAACTCCAGAATTGTACAATTTTCTGCTTTAGTCAATGAAGTGAGAGTCCACAACCCCCTGCAATCATCACAGCTGATACTATTTCATCTCATCTAATATGGGTAAATAAGAGTTCTTTCCAATTTGAACCTGCGGGGTTGACCTGGGGAAACAGTCTTGAGAACCCACAACATTTCATTGTACAGAAAGCAGGCTTTTGTTGTGGAAAGATGACAAAAGTTAATTCTTAAGTTAATTGTTTCGTGACAGTCTGTGGGTAGATGATACGTTAAATAGTTGGTTGTCAAGTGTCCCTCCCCACCCTGCCAATCGATTCGCTTCTGTGTATTGTCACAAATTTGATTTAAGAATTCATTCTTTTTCGCATTAAATCAATTAAATACAACAGATACAAGTCGAAAAACGTAATTTATTACACACACTATTCCATGTGTGCATTGTAAGTTCATAAAATGTATATGAATGTATTCATTGATGCATGTTTACTCACTAAAAATTATGACTGGATCACGTGCAAATGTAGATATTTGGAATTGGTTTCTATTGCAGGCAAGCATTGCCGATTCATAGCTGAGGCAATCAAATATGCTAGAAATTATGCAAAGGAGTAGCAATCCTAGGCTTGAACTCAGCATTTCTGCAGTGCTGCCTGGGTACCACCTGTCGAGTCTCAGTATTCAGAATCAACTATCCACCTGGTTTAATAACCACAATTACCTGCATTCGGGATGTAGCGGGGAAAAATACATTTTCAAGGAAAGGAGATGTTAAATTAGTCATGAGTGAAAACTTTAGGCTATCGCTTTCAGCAGAGGGAGCCAAGGGGGCCACGGCTGGATCTTTCGCATGGGCCATAAGAGAAGTAGCGAGCAATATCAAGGAGGATAGAGGACACAGGAGCAAGGGTCAGAGACCCCTCCAAGCGTATGATCGCGCACACACTCGCGAGCAGAACATTCGGCTATCAGAGTGACACAGAACAGGGCAAAGGAGGAGAGTGAGAGGCTTGTTCAGACACGAGACTTCTTAAGGGAAAGAATAACTTTCAAGTGGAGCCAAGAAGTGCACCAAAGGGAGATTTGGAAACTTTAAAAAGGGAAGTAACAAAAAAAGCATTTAATGTGAAGTCCTTTCCGGTAATGTATCCTTCCCTGCAGGACAGAAGTAGTCCAGACGGGCACAATTGGCCAGGTGCGGGGATGGGGAGTTATTTGTATTTCATGCAGGAAGAGCTGGAATGGTGGGAGTGTTCGCCCAGTGCTCATATTATTTATAAGAGCACATACTTACATTATACGGTGATAAAAACAGAGATCCCCCCCCCCCCAAGCATTTATTGAGCCCGGCATGGCACAGCACACAAGAGGGGTTGGGGGCGGCAGTGGCCAGGATCAAGCCGCATCACCTTTGCCTCGCCAGTGCCGATGTTTACACACATCGCACCAGGAATTTAATTCAGTCGACCTAGGTGAAGGTCCAGGAATGGTTTAGATATCAATTGCTGCCGACGTTAGCCATGGTTGGAAATTAAACTCTGGTTTCTGGGTCCTGAACGCAATATGACTCCCCCCCCCCCCCCCCCACCATAACACAATGATTTCACACACACGCACAAACATGCACGGGCACGTACACGCACGTGCGCGCACGCACACAGGCAAATGTAATTCACGGATAACTAAGTACGCGCTCACACACAAGCATCGATATCACTCGACACATTTGAAGCTGGCATCCGGCCGCCGAGGGACCATGGGATTCCAAAACTAATTACGCGTAGCGTGAGGATTTGTGCATCTCGTCATTTGTCATCGTTTGTCATGAATTGGCAAAGTTATAATTAATGTAGACGTGGGCAGACACATCCCGCACCTCACAAGCCCACAAATGTGTTAGAACTCTCATACAGATGCAAACAGACTGCTTCATTAAAACCTTTCAAAGCTAGGCAATATGCTTGCATTCGTATGACAATCAATTCTGTAAATGACGATGAAAACCCATAATCCTATGAAGTAGTATGACAGCACATTAGAAGCGTCAATGTGAATAAGTATGCATTCATGTCACAGGGTAAGAAAGCAGAACTAACAACATAACAGTGCTTGGACAAAGAAACACTTAGTCATTTGAGCAACAACTGCCACCACAGCATACCGAAACGGATAGTGCGTGCTCTCCAAAACGATTATAACAAAAACAATGGGATTATGACAGTCGGTGTCTACATTGTGGGCACAAGATTGTGAAAGTTGTGATAACAAAAGACGATGACGCACGGTCAAGCGAGCGGTGCGCCGTCGCACTCGAGCGGGCAACGCGCTCTCGCATACGAGTGAGCGGCACTGTAGGGCACAGTTAGGAGGAACAGGCTGCCGCCGCAGCTGTAAATACAACCAAACGAAGCAGAAAATAAAGAAAACAAAGAACTTCGTGGGGGTCGATAAACGAGTGCCCCCCCGCCCCCCCCGTGGAACATCCTAGGAGCGGGAGACAGTGGAGTCGCCATCCAAAGTCAACAGACGATGAACTGCTCCCCCCACCACCCTCTGTTCCACCCCTCGACCCCCCCCCCCCCCAACGCAAAGAAAACCCCCTCCACTTTAGGTTGAAAATGACTGAATGAGAGTCAGGAAATTAAATAAGCTACTTTTTTCCCTCCCGTTTTACACTTTTTTGCCCTCCTCGGTTTCCACGGTTAATCATTTTGGAAACAGCATTTCAAAATTAAAATTCCAGTGGGTACACGCATGCTGCTGGAACTCCCCCACCCTCTCCCAACAAATTACGCTCTGTTCTTTCTCACTGCATATTTATGTTTGTTGGCCATTTATGGGCAAATCGTACTCCTGGCAATATAAAACAAATATTAAGCAAGTTCTTTCCCGATGGAGGCAGCGAATGAATGCAGAAATTTAAAATAGCCTTGCTTAGCCAAGCTTAGCCAGGCATTTCCTGTAAAAAAAAAATCCACGTTATTCTTTGAGTGTTTTGGGGGTTTCTTTTGTCCGTGCTCTGCCCATGCCTACACGCAGCCCCCTCCCCTCTTGGGGTCAACATTTCAAAGCCGGGGAGTGAATTTCTCCATTAATCCCTCAGGGACTCGGGGGACTCATGGCGCCAAGGGCCGGCTCATTGCTCAGCCGATCGGCTATAGCCCGTCAGTCAATGTAGGTGGCCGGTCGACTAGAAAGAGTTCCTTCATTCCACTCGATAACCTAGTGGGATCGCTCGGTGTGCTCGCCGCTAAAACATTCAGTCAAATGGACAATTCTATTCAGACAGATGATGCCCATGATAATAGGTTTTTCCCTTTTTTTCTGGTAACAAAACAGGTGTTAAGATGTCAAAACACCAAACTGAAACCTTGTACAAGGAATCATGTCTGCATTAACCACAATGCTTGTGGTCAGAATGCAAACCAAAAACATACTATGATAATATATGCATTGTCCTTGAAACTGATTGGTCCACACCAGATAAAGTTTTCTTTTGAGCCTCGTTTCAAACGGTGTTTGACCAGAGGATGCCAAAAGGCATGCCAAAAGGCATCCTCTGGTGTGGACCAATCGGTTTCAAGGACAATTCATATATTATCAGAGTATGTTTTTTTTTGCATTCTGACCACAAGCATTGTGGTTAATGCAGACATGATTCCTTGTAAAAGATTTCAGTTTGGTGTTTTAACATCTTAACACCTGTTTTGTTGCCATAAAAAATGGCGACACCCTATTATCATATTTTGGTACTGGCAAAGGAGGTCCCATGATGTAGATGAAACCTAATTTTTGCTTGTGAATTTTTCTGGCTGTGCGGAAGAGAATTTCACATACGAAATAGTTACGGCATCATTCAGGGCCATAGGCCACTGTGTTTGCCAATAGTGGCATAAATGCCAATGTTAAGGTGACCCGCAAGTGTATTTTAAAATATGTAAACAGTACACAATGATGCTCAGGAACATGAATCATTAACAGTGTCTATTAACAGAATAATATAGAGCAGGCTAATGTGTCACGCTTGACCTAAATGTTTTATCGAATTTTTTTATGTTTTTGTATAACTAGAAAGAATAATACATTTAATAATGATGAAACATTTACGAAGGCATAATACATTATCTCAATGTATTGTGCAGATATTTAATTTCAATAAGTTCAAATGTCTGGCTGGTTGGATGAGCAACCCATTAGTATACTGTTGTCCTTGTTGTTCGAGCTCTTCAGCATAATTACGCATGACTCACCATCTAGTATGGCAGTGTTCTTCACATTTTCAGAGGGGGACCACTTTCGCCGATAAGACATCAGTGTGAGAGCTGCCACACATTTCAAACCATTGGGTTTAACAGCATGATGGGGCATTTTCACATTTGCGTATTGTTGGGGGCCACACTAAAGGCCACCAGGAGCCACCAGTGGCCCGCAGGCCTTGCAATAAAGAACACTGCAGTATAGTTATGCACGACTCACCTTATACATTGCATTCTTGTCTCAGAGGTATTTTATCTGCTTAAATAAAGGAGGCTATTGCCAGTTGTAGAGGGACAGTTTTAATTACGAATTTAGTGAATTTATATTCAAAACATTTATTTTCTAATTTCTTTATGACATCGGCACACAATGGACTAATTGCGTGAATGTCTAAGAGACAACAAAGAGGAGATGAATAGGCAGGGAAGGAATCAAACCGTAGATAAAAACCAATGCTCTTTGTTTATTTACCAAGGAAATCCCCGCTATTTGTTCAGGAGGCCCTGCTGTATTGGGATATTTGGCTAATTACATCAATGAGTGTTTGGCGACATGTGGGAAGAAACCTGAGTACCCAGATAACCCAGTGTCATACACGGATTTGCGTGCAACAGCTCTGCACGCATTCATTCAAGAATCTATTTCTGTACTGCCATATCATGGCCATCTCGTAGTCCCTCGTGAATACTGACCATCCAAAAGAGGCGTGCACTGCTCTAAGCACAATTTTTTTTATGAAGATTTAACTATTCAACTGACTGCCAGGCTACAGCCCCCAACGCCAACAGCCGCTTTCCATCAGCATCAGTGCCAGCTAGGTCCCTTTGTCCCAGCGCTGCCAAGAATTCTCAGCCTCTGGTCCTCGGAGCACCAAAAACAATAACACAAACTAACCTATATCATCAGGGACGCCCCCACTCCGGGACCCTCCGTTATTCAGAGCCCCTGGCCGTATAAAGCCGGAATTCACAACCGTGGCTTTTTTTTCCCCGATACCGAACTGTACTTTTTGTTCAAATTGAATGACAGTTCTGCAAGTGCTGGCTGGGGACTGGATGATGGTAATACTGTACACGTTCACCAAGATCTCAGGAGGAGGGGCTGCTTGACAGGGGGGCAGCAATCAGCAACAATGATATAAACATATAATTGATTTGAAGCTTTCGTGACTGCAGGAATCCATACTCTTTGGTTTTTTCGGTAAAGTCACGTAGGTAGAAAATAAAATAAATCACGACGTTTCGGGCGCTTGTGTAATAAATCACGACGTTTCGGGCGCAACACAAGCGCCCGAAACGTCGTGATTTATTATTTGATACCTACGTGACTTTACCCAAAAAACCAAAGAGTATATAAACATATAATTCCTTTGATAAGCTTCCGTAAACAGCCCAAGTGCACTGGGGTAAGACAAACTGCCATCGCTGCTGCTTTTTTCCCCGTTCTTCCACAAGCCTTCTGACACTTCAGCACTCTGAAGTGGTTGGCGATCGAGATGGCTCGGCTGGCTGGCGAGCGTGCAGTGATTGGCCACACCACGGTGTTTGTCGTGAGTGACAGGCTACAAGGCTTTTGCATTATTCACACGCGCAACTCTCAGTTAAACGAGACACTCCGACATGCCCGGCTGCTGGGCCAATGCCAGAATAAGCAACGGATACTCTCTCTCTCTCCATGGTGGACAGCTACTGCGAGTGAAATGTGTTTGCTTAACGCATTTCCCGTGCACGTTTGCATGGCGGCGTGCGTGAATGATCTCGTGTACGCGCAGGCACACGTGGGTTCTTGTGTGTCTGTGCTTAGTTAATAAACAAAGTGGGGGGTAAATTGTTTCCATTGCATCGTGATACAAAGTCCCGCATAGCGAACTGTATTGCATGTAAAACGAGTTTTAATTAGATAATGTTCAATGTATTGAATGTGTTAAATATGCAGCATGAATTGCTCATTATTTATTTACATATTTACTTGCTTGACACGTCAAAAAAAATGATCTGATGTTGAACGGCCATCTAAAAATGTCAGGGAGTTGGGGGCAACTGTGCCCTTTGGAGACCCCTTGAGTGTGCCGCCGTCTGCGTGTTTTATACACGTGTCATCCCAACTACAGCAGAAAGGACCATCCATTTCTCTAAACATATTTTTCACTCTTGAGAAATGCAACAAAAATGCAAGTATCTCGAGATACCATCAACTCAACTGTAAAGATATTTCATCACTACTTGTGCATACCTATCAGTGAACGAAAGCTGATTCAATTAGCACAATTTGCATCTTACCAAGAGGCCTTCATGGCCTCTAAAAAATACTTTGTCAGACGTAAAAAGTTTCTGGCCAAGATCAGTGGCGTAGCTTTCGCGTGTCCAGGCAGTGCATTTTCATCGGGGCCCATGGGTCAGAGGGGCCCAAGGCCCTGGGCTACGAAGAGTGGAGAAAGTTGGACAGAGGGCTCCATTTTAATCCTTGCACCAGAGCCCATGTCTGCCCACTCTGGACCACAGGTCTCCACATATTCAACTGATACGAAATTAATAACTATATTTTGGGATTCATCTTCTTGGTTCTTTTGGTAAAGTCACGTAGAAGGGAAGTGATAAAATAATAAAAATAAAACATAATAAAATAATTCTCACGACGCTTCAGACGCTGTCTCCCCGACAGACTTGGTCTTCACCTGAGGACGGCTGCTTGCGTTGTGGCCGAAACGTCGTGAGAATTATTTTATTATGTTATATTTTTATTATTGTATTACTTCCCTTCTACGTGACTTTACCGAAATAACCAAGAAGATGAATCCCTGCAGTCACGAAAGCTTTAAATCGAAATATATTTTGGGAATCAACACAGAAGTAGGAAACACTCTACACTCGATGTGAACAAGAATTGTTGGGTTTAATTCCCATCAAGGCGGCCAAGATTTTTGATAAATGTCTTTACCCATTATTCCAGAGATTAAATGAGAAAATTGCACCAAATTGCTTATGACGGTGGGTAAAATGTGGGAACCCTTAACATTACCATCTCATCTGGCCAGTGTGTAAGGGTGGGATAAATGTCTCCCTCAAACTATGAGCTAAGCTATCGGCAAAAGTGTGACGCTGTGAACGGCACTCGTTTTTATCTTTATAATTGAGGCACATTCCAAAAATACAGCCAACATCGCAGAACCATGAAGAAAGGCAATTATCTTAAGCAGCGGCTTTTTGATCCGCTTTTAAAAAAAAAAATTTAACGAACGCAAGACATTAGTCACGAGTTTGGCAGAGCACTTTTGTCTCTTGGCACAGCAAGTAAAAGTTCAGCTTGGGTGGCGCCGAAAAGTACCTTTAAAATAATCGTTTCATATGTTCACCCTCACGTTGCCCATGCCCTCGTCCTCCTCACCACGTAAGTACCGGGCAAAGTACGATTCACCCCATTAGTACAATTCACACTATGATTCACCTTAACCCAACGAGTGACTGAATGGATCGTCACCATTCGGGTTCACGATTTCATTGATTAACGGACGTGATTTTTGTCTTGTTTTACCATTGCATTTGTGTTTGTTCTTCTGTAAACAGATTCCATCTTATAGGTACGGTCTTTTCACTCGAGTAGCATGAATGGAACATTAACATAACATTTGCGTTTCATTCACAGCCCTTTATCAATCCACTGCTCAATGAAGGTCTTCACCACACTGGTCAATGTGGTTTGGTAAAGGGGAAGCTGGGGACCGTTTATGATGTCACTCACCACTGATGTTAACTGTAGCTCGTAATGAAGGTCACCGGGTTCATTATGCAGCTCGCGCTAACAACTACACCTCCACTCCGCCCTACATTTGCATATCATCAGCCAAGAACAATGCACTGCTGGATGAAGTCCCCCCAAGTCATAACCGTCGTCTTTTATGCTCTTGCGAAGAAACAATCCAGCACTTGCACGCGAGCTAATAACTGCCACCCTATCATTTGATTTACAGATTTCCCAGGACAGTTATCTCAACAAGAGGACAATCCTAGAAAAACCAGGACAGATGGCAACCGCACCGCAACCCCCCCCCCCCACACCTGCTGCCCCCCTGTGCAGCTCCTGCTCACTCGCTCGCAGCGCATCACACTCACCTGTTCGTCCCCGTCGCTCGCCCTCCGTGCCACCGCAAGGTGGATGCGGCCGCGCTCGCTCCCATCCGTGGCCATGCACCGCCGCAGCGTCTCCATGGCGGCGGCATTGCTACGGCCGAGCAGCGGCTCCCTGTTGACGGCGACCAGCTGATCGCCAATTCGCAGACGCCCGTCCTGCGAAGATGCGTGCAGCAGCAGCGCGAGCGTGGCGGGGAAAGTGTAACGACTCGCCCCCAAGTGCTCCCTCGCCTGCACCCTTCCCAAAACGACGATTCTATGGATTGTCGCAACGCGGGGGTCGTGATTTGATCGAATTAATTCTGGCTATTTGCGGCAAGTCACCAACTCACCCGCCGCACATGAACCTCATTACCCTGCCAGCGGTTCCGTGAATTGTCACAATACAGTATATTTTTCTTTCTCCAGAAATGGAATTTTTTTTGTATTAGCTTGGAAGTATTATTTCTCATTTGTTCCATCTCATCTGTGCAGTTTCGTTTATTTCCATATGACTTACTTGCAATGTGCATGAGTCAATGAATTGGTGCACATCTCTGAATGTTTAACGGATTATTATGATGACGAGTATTTATCTGGGACGTACCTCTCACCTTGTAAATACCGCCTACCAATCACTGGCTCCTCAAGCCCACAAAAAACCCCTTCCTAGCACAGCAATAAAGGCATGTTGCAATTAAATTCCATACGTGATTTTATAAGTTGTAACGATTCAGGGTGATGATTGAATTTAACCATCAATTATTTTGGTGCACTTATGCTACATGTACAATCACTGTAGGCACATCACGATTCATTCTTATAAGCATGGTATGACGCATATATTATCAGAGGTGTTACAAGTGAGTGTAGTCGATAAACTCAAGAATGGTAAACTTCGTAATTGAATTGCAGCAGCATCAGTGCCAGTTATAATCCAATTGCATTAGAAAGCAGCCACCGCATTCTGCATCTATACCTACGCGCAGGGCTTTAATTCAGCCGAGTTTCTCTGGGTCGGTGGCCTGGAGAATATATTTCTATACCACTCACACCACATCCAGTAGAGCCCTCACTATGGCTGTGGCTAATACTCGCGTGCCTATCCCAGTCTACCAACGGATCCGGAAAATATTCAGCGACGATTTCAGCCTTTCCCAATGTGATTAGTCTCTTAACCTAGCGATGCAACTGCTCACTCACCTCCACCCACACCGGATTCTGACCCTCACCCTCACCTTGGCGGCGGCCCCGCCGGCAATGATGGACTTGACGTAGATGCCAAGGTCGTGGGCGCCGTCGCGGCTGCGGTTGCCCTTGACGCTGACCCCAAGGCCCGCGGGGCCACACTCGCTCAGCGCGATCTCCAGGTTGAGGCACTCGCAGGGACCCGACGCCGTCACGATCATCCCACCCGAGCGCTCCGCCTGCTGCTGCAAGAGGCACGGGTGCGGCGCAATGTGGCTCAGGAGGGTTGCAGGAAGAGATAAAGCTCTGTGAGCCAATGCAATGATAATCGAGGGAAAAGTGCAGCCCCTCTGATACTAGATTAAACTAAAACGATTTTTATTCTACCAGGTAAGGTCCACTGAGCTATATAGCTCTTTTTCAGAAGCGACCTGGCCACAAAGGATAGCTCAACAAAGCAGCTTATCATGTGTAAATTTATAGCAGCCAAATACTCTGAACACATGTTTCTAAATCTGAAAGGAAAATCCAGAAGACTCGGAGAAAAATCCACGCGACCATGAGGAGAACATGCAAACTCCAAATATACAGGTGTCAGGGACAAGATTGAACCCACGACCTCCTGTATACCAGACGAGGTATGTAATATTTCTCACACAACTGCTAGCAGAAGGCCCTCAAGCAGGGGAAGCTCAGAGAGTCTCTCTAGCGAGAATTTGGCCTACTGTTCCACGCTGGCCAGATGTCTTGGAATATGTTGGGAGTATCCACACTTCACCCCACTACACATGACCTGTCCAACTGTGGTATACTCATTTATATTTCTGGGTGGACAATGGTTATTATGGAGGATTTAAGAAACTTGCACTGTTGTTTTGACTGCCACGTCAGGAGAATGAATCAAACCGGTGACCCCTAGATTGCAAGTTCTGTGTGTTAACCATTGCACCAAGGATCCCTCATATGTATGTATGTTCAACTTCTTTTGCACCATACATAGCCAACCGTGATAATCGGAGGTGCGGTCATACAGACTATTGTGGCAAGCCCTGTTAAATGAGCACCGTACACACACATGCACGCACACAGAGGCAACTACAGACATACGTAGACACACAACATATTCACATAAAGAGACAGTCACCAGCCACTTCAAAAACAACATGTACAAACTCGCAAGCAGTCATCCTGAAAGACAACCAGACATTGACATCCACATTTATTCAATTTCATCTCCAAGGAATCTTGGGTTTTATGTGCGCACCGTGAACAGAGATGTGAGTGATAAAAAAAAGCAGAATCATTTGCAACCGTTCAGAGGCAGAGTAGCGAGCCCATCTGGCACCCGCCGAACAAGGAACATGTAATGAGAGTTAAAATTACGTCTGGATGCATCTGCTTCACTAACCTCGCTTCCTGCACATCGGCAAGATGATAACACTAATAAATTTGAACGCTTTCTGTAAATGATGAAAAACTCATAAAACACAAAGTGACTTCGCTTACAAATTTTAAGAGTCATAATAATACCCAACGCAAAACGGTGATTTTTAGATGGAAAAAGGTACAACAGTGACTACTGGATTGGTCATTTGTTTATATTATGCCTGGCGTCCTGCCCAAGTTTGTGTCTACAGGATATCAGGTTTGAAGTCTCCAGTGTTGCTTGCAACTGTTTTAAAGATTTTTATTTTCCAAGATGTGAATACTTAAAGTGGCTACTCGGAGAGCATAGATATTTGGTAAAACACAACAGAGTCTTCACGATTTGTGCGAAGGATTCACATAATGGTTGGTGCAGAAGCCAAGTCAATCAAGAGAGAATCTGGACTTGTGCACATGTCCCAAAGTGATTGAAATGAAGAGGCACTCGTGTGCAAACAACGTAGCTTAAGCGAGCGAGTGAAAGAACTAGCTGTTGTGCCAATTTAAAGAGGGGCAGGTCAGTTAGCTAGGTAGGTGGGTACTTTATAGGGAGTAGATTTGCAAGTTAAAGCTTGCACAGCCATAGGGACGTATTTTTGTGAACTATAATGAAATAACGCGTAATAAATAAATTCAGTTTTAGTTGGGCGGTGGTGATCCAGCATTGTGGAGGAGAGGGTTTGGTGGATCACTGAAATGTTTTGAAACTCCCTTCCCCTTTGGGCGCCCGGGAGTTACCATACCCTGGCTCACAAGGAGAAGGCGGAATAGCAGCAAGTGTTGACTAATATAATCTCTCCCATCTGTATGAGATAATGTTGCCACCTCGCATGCATGGGTTTTCTCCGGGTGCTCTGGTTTCCTTTCACATGCATAAACACTAATTCATTGTCTGAAAATGTCTGAAAAAAATAACACTCAATGCAGAACCCTCCTGAAATAGAGGTCTTGGACAAGGTGTGGATTCTGCGGTAAATTAATAATTATTAAGTTGGCAAGTGGCCACGTAAGACTGGCAAACGGGCAAAGATACAAACACATTGGTAACTTAGAAAGTGAATGGACTCGCAAGCAGGTAGTTCGATTTTTTTAAGTTGATCATGTTAGCAGCACACCTGGCAGGAAATTATTACCTAATAATTGAACAGACAATGGAGCTGCTCAAGTTATGTGATTTACTACTGGAATACAATTAAACACAACGTAAAATCAAGAGTGCAATCTGTGCCATCTAGGCTCAAGCCCAGGATGTGGCCTGAGTAACGTACGAGTCATTGATATGCCTCGCCTATCCTCCTCTGCACAAATGTCAACAACAAGGAACCAGTATGTACGACTAGGCCTTATGACCATACATCGAGTTAAGAGACGGAAGGCATGGGACACAGGTGACAGGCATATACTATACAACACGATTTAGATGTAAACGGCGTGTAAAGTCAACCACATCTTAGGACGTTGAACAGAAACAGAGGAAATGTTTGGTTTCTCGAGAGAAGCAGTTTGGCCTTGGCAGAGGACAAAAGGCAGGTCCCTATGCCTGGACTTGAACAGGGGCAGGTGGTCGACAGCACGGATAGCTGGGGGAAAGGACTTACAAAATATAGTGGCAAAAAACGTTGACTGAGGCCTTTCATGATTGATGGAGCAGAGTGTGTGGGAGGGAGTGGAGTAGTGGTGAGTATGAGGAGGATCTTGTGAGTGCGATTTTTAATGTGCCTATTCTTATGCGTGATAATATATTGTTTTAGGTTTATGCTAATACTATGCAAATGCTAGGTTCAGACTAATTAAATAAATGAGAAATAACAAATGAGCTAGAAAAAATGAGACGGACAATACAAGAGAAAAGACAAACGAGAGAAAAACTAATTGATTTTCAAATTGAATCAAGACCTGAAATCACGACATTCATCAACTTGTCAGGTAATATGAATCATTAAATGCCTATTGGACACTGCGTGGGAGGCGTGGCATGAATAATAAAGCATAATGATGATACATGTCCACACATGAGTACAATAATTAAAGTAATTGAAAGACAAACATTTTCTGGATGAAAATGTATTTTAAAAACGCATGAAACACACAGTTAGAATTGTTTTTGAACATCACAGACACACACTACTACTAGTATGGAGCACTCTCACCTCTTCCAATAAGTGGAAGAGTAAGCCAAAATAACCTCGATAAGAGCTATGTAGAGCTGCCTTTAAGTGGAGCTCTTACCATCAGCAGTGGCGTGAGCAAACAATTGCAGGCCTGCACCTTTACCTTTTTATCATACACTAACCAGACAAAAGAGACAGGCGGCAGCCTATTTCACAAAAGCTGAGCAAACACCTCTGGCATACAGATAACAGAGGCAACAACACCAGCAGGATGCAAGTGTGAGAGATTTGGTTTGAGGGCTCCCGACGACGACGACGGGAGTTTGAGGGAGCGTGTGGAGGCACCTGCAGTGGCGGGGGCAGCAGGGCGTCGTGGCGGGACACGAGCAGGTCGACGGAGGAGCCCGGGTGAACGCCACGCAAGACGCTCACCACCTGATCTTGGGACATGCTGCTCACGTCCACGCCGTTCACCTGCGCGCGCATGGAGGAAGTGCACACGCAAGCACATGTCCCACATTTCCACGAGACGAACTTTGGAAGTGCTGGGTCAGCACAGCATGGGTAATGAGGCGTCTGCTGATCGGATCTTGCAAACGCATTTATACAGACACAATACAAGCACACAAAGGCTGCCAGGGCAAGTGCTGTTAGCGAGTACCTCTTCGCTGTGGCAAGTCGCACAGTGGGGTGATGTGGACAGCAGAACACTGCGATGTTTATACACCACACCAGGTTCCTATTTAAGGCCAAGTAGACTCAAGACTGGTTCAGATATCAAGCACGACATGCTCAGAAATCCAACTCAGGCCATCATTTTGGTAGCACAGTGCAAAAACATATACACCAGCACACCCGACACAAAATACCCCGTATAGCCTTAACAGACTTTGGCACAAGTGCTATTAGCGAGCGCCTATGAAGGCCAGCACGGCACATGAGGGGGTGGGTGGCCACCACTGTGCCCAGCCGCCTTTGCCTCCCCAGTGGCAATGTTTACACATCGCACTGGGCACTCACTTGAGACTGCGTCGACCTAGGGGAAGCCCAAGACTAGTTCAAATAATCATCACTGGTGTTGGCCGTAAGCGGGAATCGAACTCGGTTTGCCAGGTTCATAACGCAGCACGCTAACCGCTGCACTACTGCTCATAACGCTCCCCACACACATACACACACACATGCCATTCTTCCCATTGTACACCTGCCACATTTGGGTTATTTCAGAATGTAAAAAAATAATAATGAAAGAAGACTGCTCTGCACGTGTCCAAGTACAACCAGATGACCCATAGCCACCCCTTCCTCATCGCCAAAGCGCCAGGAAAACGAGAACAATGTTTATCTGCAGTTCCATTTTGCCAGTTCGCAGAGGGACAGACACAAGCTAATGCATTCCGACATTAGAAAAATAAGCGTGTGCTTTAAAACTAAAGAGTGCGTAAAAGTGATCCTGTTCCTAACAAGCGATCGCATGCTCCGTCAAGTTCCTTGATTCTCAACGGCAATGTGTGCATTATTAAAGGTACAAGTTTAATATTTTATTTTATCTAACACGTCCATACGTATGTCCATAGAGATGAGAGATATATTATCAACCTATTTGCCTCTGTACGCCTCGCATATTAAATACAATTATTATTGCTTTCATAAATCATACAAATTGCTTGACATTTTGCCCATTTCCATTAAGATCTTTTTAATTCTCTCACTTTGGCTCTCCTGCCTCTTCCCTTCCCTCCCTTAAATCCATCACATCCCTCCCCTGCTTCCTCCATCTCTCTCCCAAAACTTGCTGCGCTCCAGTGACCACCCCTATCCTCTCCTGCCTTGCGACATTATTACTACGTCTCTACATATCTTATTTAATTATAAAACTATCAAGATGTACCTTTTTTGGCCATGGATAATTAAATTTAAATGCATTATTTCATTACTGTGCGGGATTTATTTAACAATGTTGTAATGCACGGGCTAGCAGGGGGAAGTAACAGGACAACAGTTTGTCCATATAGCCCACACGCCACAGAAAAAAGGTCCTAAATCTGCTAAACACAATGGTCATTCTTGCTGAGAGACTGCACAATAAATCACAAGTCCTCCCATTATGTATGCCTGCCACTCCCAATTTACATTTCTAATATTCACCAATGCTTGAGATTTTCAGCAGCAACAAAATAAATGTCTGTGACATAAACAGAACAAAAATTACTTGATGTACAAATCGACTATTTAATCATTCATACGAAGGTCAAAGAAACATATTTCTACAGTAGTACTGCTCACTGGTTCTGACCTTTGACTCATGACCAATGACCACAAGTTCCTGACTGCTCACCCTTCATTATTATCACCGCAATAGCCACGGGCTGACCTCTGACCCATCACCAGTGACCACGACCTTCCGACTACTGCCCCCTCACCAGGATGCCCTCCGATTCCAACCATTGACGCATGACCAATGACCTCAACCTTCCGAGTGCCGCCCCCTCACCATGATGAGGCGATCTCCCGCGTGGAGGCGACCGTCGGCGATGGCCGCCCCCCGTGGCAGGATGTGCTTTATGTAAACGTGGCCGGGCCCGCTGACTGGCGTGTCGCGCGACGTTAGGCTGAAGCCCAGTCCCTCCGGCCCTGAGCAGAGTGGAACAGGGAGATATGATTAACCTCATTATTATTGTACCTTCATTGTAATTCTTTGTTACTAAATACTAGAATTTTACGTTTTTCAATCATATTTCTTCAATGCAATAGCTTTTGTCCCTTTTCCAGTTTTTTTTTAATTGCACTTATTGGTGCAATCAACTTAAAACTCTCCACATATCTGCACACTCAGGGAAGCACTTTCCCATATGCTCCTCGGCAGAGAAATCCTCCTCACATGGGGTCATCAAGTTGTTCTAAGAACCCTAACTCAATTCTCACATAAATAACAAACCCCACGGAAACGTCACCTTTCTGGAGCTGCACTCTGAACCGCCGGCCTGAGTGCCTGCGCGGCACGACCGGTGAGGATGTCCGCTCCGCCTGCACGTTGCCCAAGGGGGCGGCAATGGCCGCCACCGTGCACGGAAACGTGGGAAGACTCTGAGAGCAGGGCGCTCGGTGCACTTGCTGGCAGAGAGGCAGCGTGTGGGCCGGCGGGCCCGGCTGCGGGCCAGGGCCACTACCGCCGCCACCGCCGCCGCACCACGCCCAGCGAGCGTCCTGCGCGGCATCTGTCAATGCCGCCGCCGCCGCTGCCGCCACTGCAGGTACATGCGGCCGGTAGAGGAGGCAGTCCTGGAGGAGCCCATTGGGACCGAGCGCCGTGGACACGACGCACTGAGCGCAAGCCCCCACGGCGCTGGTGGTGGCCCCATCGTCCGGGCGACGCCAAGAGCCGCAAACAGCGCCGCCACCACCACCATTGAGCCCCGTGCATGCCACTGCCGTGGCCGCCGAGATGGGGGGTGGCGGTGGTGGCCCCCAGTCAGCGTGAGCGTCCCACTCGCCGTGCGACTCCCACGTGGCCCCGTGCGCATCCCAGCTGCCATGCGCCTCCCAGCCGAGTACACGAATGTCACCAGCGGCGCCGCATGGAGACACTTCCCCCCAGGGAAAGGGCCGCGGCCGGAGGAAGGTGGCACGGGACGATGGAGAGGCAGGGGAGGCCGGGGAGGCCGGCGAGGAGAGATCACGCTCGTAGGCCTCGCGCTGAGCGGCTGGGACGACCCACAGCCGAATGACCGAGCACTGCATGGCATGCCGGAACATCTGCTGCGCCCTGCCAGTGGTGCAGAGTGTTACGCGCGAGGTCATGGTAAGGGGGTGCAGAGAGGATTGACGTGCAAATGGATGTACGTGGAGGTGGACAATTTGACTGGTTTTGTTTGGAGTGAACGGCGTTTATTTATTGATTCAACGCGATTGTTATGCTCAACGACAACTGCGTAAAATTGTACGTGCAAGAAAAGTTTATATTTCAGTTGTATAATGGATATAATTGCTGCACGTGACTCCTGCAGCCACGAGAGTTGCTACACTCACCACGATGTTAAAATAATCTTGAAATGAATCGCGACATATCTTCACTTCATCAATCAAAATTACTTGGTGGTGGGCGATGTGTTCCACTTCTTTCGGCAAGGTTGCAGGTGGAAGCGGTGGCATAACATCGAAATGAAACGCCAAATCGTGATCATTCATTGAATCGAGTGGGGGGAGGAATGTTTACTGGCCTAATATTAAGCCAGATATGCAGAGGGATAAATGGGTGGATGATGTGGAAATGTAGTGGATTAATGAATTAATGATTGACTGATATGAAGATGTGTTGACTGAATTATTGTGTCAATGGCTGATTTAAAGATATGAAGATGAATCTACCTTTGGCTGATGTGGAAATGTGATGATGAATGAATCAACTGCTGATATGGAGATGTAACGAATTACTAAAATTGGTTCATGACTAATGTGGACATGTGATGACGATTGGAGGGGGAAAAACGGCTCATGTGGAGATGCGATGAACACGTAGGTAATGTGAGGGTGAGTGGATTCATTAATTCTCAGAGAGAGGGTGCGTGAATGTGTGCATGTAACTCACAGCTCAAAGCCGATGTCTAGCAGCTGGCGCGAGTTAATAGCGATGATGGCATCGTTCGTGGAGAGGAGGCTATCGCGCCATGCGCGGCTCTCCTCCTCCAAGTGACGCACGCACAGCCCCAGGCTCCTGGAGGAGATATGTATGCACACAAACACACACATGCACGTACACACACACACATGGATCCACATGGATGTACACATGTGTAAGCAAAGATAAAGATTCTCATTTAGCCTACATAGACTGATGGGGTTAGTGCTGGTTAGTGAGTATATATTTAAGCCTACACGGAGAACTGGATGGGGGTGTGACCAGCATGACCCCCTGCCGCCTATGTCTTCCCATTGCTGATGTTTGGAGAACGCACCAGGTGCTCGTTTATGGCTGAGTTGACCCAGGGCCGATGCAGTAGTCACTAATCCCTAATGCCAGCTGTGGTCTAATATAGGCAGAGTAATACCTCTCAGCAGAGGAGACAGGTGCTGCCGGACTACATTCATTATCAATTGAGGAAGCTCTGAGATCAGAATACTGAGCCAGCACTCCTGAGATTTTGGATTCGATCTGGGTTGTAGCTGCCTATGGTTAGATTTGGTTCTGAAATGTAGTAAGTTGATGGTCTCAGCCGTTTCTTATGATTGTACAAAAAAACTCATCATATTAAAGTTGGGTTTTTTTCACTTAATTTGGCTACAGATTTAGCTCTGAGAATGAATACAAATATAAATTTAACAGTGACACGATGAATATTTCTCCGTAGCAGAGCACATGGAATATGCTGTGACCCACAGTGTGGAGGATGACGCACTACTCTGCAAGAGCTATGAGCGCATCATCTAATGAGACATGGCGTTGATGGCCTAATTTGTACAAAATTTGGAAAAAGACTAAAACAAAACCACTGCCCTGCATGGACAATAATCCAGTAATCCCCCACACCACCCCCGGGCCTCTTGCCTCCATGGTTGTCCACCAACCCCCGTTACCTGCTGGAGGATGACAGGAAGGGCACCAGGTGTATCCCCAGGGGACCCCCGTCGTTGGGGATCTCCACCAGCTGAACCATGTCACTGTGATGGGAAAAATGCAAAAAGGAGGGTAAAAGGAACGAAGGGAGATGATAATGACACAACCCACAGTGGCCAGAATGACTTACACAGAATATTCACCCCTGTGTGTATGTATATTGGTGTTGCGGTTAGTGCACTACGCTATGAACCCGGTGACTGAAGTTTGATTCCTGCATGGCTAGGACCAGTGACAATTATCTGAACTGGTCCTGGGACTCCCCTATGGCGACTCAACCTCAAATGAGTACCTGGTACAATGAATAAACATTGCCACTATGGAGACAAAGGTGGTCGGGTGTAGTGCTAGTCCCCCAAACCCTCATGTGCCGTGTCGGCCTTCATAGGTGCTCACCAACGGCACTTACCCTCAAAGACTGTTCAGGCTATACGGGGTATCTTGTTGTTTGGCTCATGTGCCCGTGGGTTCGTGGCCACGATGCCACACTCACCTGCATGTGCCGGTGTTGTGCGTGTGTTTTTGCGAGTAGTCTGCGTGCCCCACTGGATCCATGCGATCATCGCTCCTCTCCTCGCATTCTCCATCATCCTTGTGTTGACAAAAGCAGGATAGGGTTCATAAGACAGGGCATTTCAGAGCAGTGTCATTTACTTAATCGGGTGAGAGTCGTTTTTCAAGGGAGATGTGGGAAAGAGCATTCTAAAAATAAACTTTTAAACTTCAGCTGGTGAGTTATTTAAAATGTGATTCGCTCAAAGCATATAACTGTTTGCCCTCTGCACACTTCAATTAACCCAGTTTAGAGGGGCCAATGATACATCACATATCATCACGTTATAAGGGGAGTTAGACAAGCAGACATGCTCTTGGCAGTGCTATTCGCAGCAATATTGGAAGATATAGTATGGAAACTGGATTGGAGGACCACAATAAACACAAATCAAAAACAAATTATTCTCATGCACAATTCGATGCATTTATACGCAGTAATTTTTAATCAACGAATTACATTTATCGTGACATATCCAGTAACCACACCGGGGAACTATCACATTACCGGGACATTTGAGTGGGGAACCCATGGCCCACACAGGCCATATCCAGCCCACGACTTCCTTTCATACAGCCCCGCAGACAAATGAAGCCTATTGCTTCACAACGGTCCACAAATGTAATTATGTCTTTCCCATAACTGCAAGAAGCATCTTAGCCCCACTAATCGGGCACAAGAAGGCAAAATGTTCTACCTGACAACACCGTATTTCTCATTGTAATGCCACGCTCAGTTACTTCCGTAAATACAAGGGCATCATCACACTCAGTCGGCGTGCATGTTATCCGTCACGTTAATAATGGATAACGTCAAGGCATGTGCTCGTGAGATGTTAACCTCCTCGCCTGGTATGCAGGATGCCATGGGTTCAATACCGATCCCGCCACCTGTATATTTGGAGTTTGCGCGTTCTCCCCGTGGTCAAGTCGATTTTTCTCTGGGTCTTCCAAATTTTCCCCTCCACATTTAAAATTAACATGTGCTTAAGAGTATTTGGCTGCTATAAATGTCCACGTGACTAAAGCTATTTCGTTGCGCTATAATTTTGTGGCCAGGTCACTTCTGAAAATGAGCTCTGGAGCTCAGTGGGCCTTACCTGGTAAAAATAATAATATATTTCTAAAGAAAGTCGAATTCGGTCCAAATTAAGGAGGTTTTCCCCACCCCTCTGCATTAAAGGGATGGGCGTCTCTTGGTGCACCTGATCCTGCCGCTCCAGCCAGCGGTCGACCATGGGGTGAGCGGCACTGAGGGATGAGCGAGCGGCTACGCGTTGGAACGCTCCTCCCCCGGCGTGCCGCGCCATCGGCCCACACCCGTCCCCGCCCCCCATTCTCCTCGACACCTCCGCCTTTTGGGGGGGGCGGGGTTGGACAGGGGAGAGTGGGGACGAGAGGGAGTGAGGGGATAGAATGGAGGAGGCTGGAAATAATTGCAGCCACTCCTCGTATTTGAAAAATGTATTTAAACAAAACAGAGTATTGTGATGATAATACTAGTATCCTTTGAAACTCCCTTTTTCAAAAACAACAACAACATTTTTTAATAACTATTGTCATGAATTAGTTTACATTTGGAAATTTAATAAGAAATGTAATAATGGTGCCTAACTGAAGCAGGTGGAGTGCTGAATCTTAATGCAGTTCTCATCTGTACATGCTCCTCTGTAAATGCATGTGTGCATACGTGTGTGGGCATGTGAGTGTGTGTGCGTTGATGTGTTTGCGTGCATGCTTGTGTGGAGATATGAGCGTGTGTGGGTGTGTGAGAATGCGAGTGTGTGCATGCATGTGAGTGTGCATACATGGTTTGCGTGTGTGTACGTGCGTGCAAATGCATAAGCATGGACATGAGGCATGTTTGGAAATTGATTGCATATGTGCAAGTGCGTAATGTGTTTGTGGGATTTGTACAGAAGTAAAGCCATTAAGAATGCTGGGGCAAGGGCTGTCAGTGGAGAATGGTGGCACCGTGAGTTTTCAAACTGCGTCAGGTGACACGGCCACCTCAGTTCAATACAGGCTGTGGTTAACTTCACGATCAAGTATTATCTCATTCTGTTCCTTGGTCTGCTCCTAGGTTGACTCAGGCTTAAATTACTACCTGATAAGTGTATAAACATCAGCTCTGGCGAGACAAAGGTTTTGGCCACACCACGTCATGGTACGCTGTGCTGGCATGACTAGGTGCTGGCGTAGCGGTTTGTTTACTGCACTATGAACCTGGCAACCTGTGTTTGATTCTCAGTCATGGTTAGCATCAGCGGCGAGTGATGTGGTGAACCAGTTTCGGGGCACACAGTCTGGGGCACGTTAAGCAGCGAGTGTGGTTAAACAGCACCCATAACCGACACGGCATAGGAAACCTTCATCCAGCAGTGACTTGACAAAAGGGAGTAAATTGCTTTAATAATTATAACTTAAGAGCACGTGCCCAAAGCAGTCTTACGGTTGTCGTAGGTTGATGAACTTAGGGAGGGGGGAAGCCGTGGGAGGTGCAGGTACTGGCCCAATCCCATCATGCTCCAGCGTACCCTGGCAAACCCTGACATGCCTTGGCACGTGTGGCAAACCTTGGCGCGGGGGATGGTAGCGGCCGAGGGCAGGGTGCCCTGTTGTGGGCTGCCATGGTGCGGCCGGGGCAGGGTGTCGGCCTTGGCTCCCCAGCGTCCCCGACCCCTGGGGGGGCCGCCGCAGCCATCGCGGGAGGAACCGTGCCGGGGGAGCAGGTGGCTGAGGGCCCCCATGCAGACCCCTGAGGATGGTCCCAGCTGGGCCGGGTCACTGCTGCGCCGCACATGCAGGGGTGTGTCTGCACGCACGCACAAAGACACGAACGCATGGATGCAGCGTGAATCTACGCACGCACGCTTTGCATGCACGTGTAGACATGCACGCGCACAGGCTTGCACACATAGGCAAGCACAGACACATACAGATGTGAACGCAGCACCAAAGTCATCAGATATACACAGTAAATACTATTTCCTTTTTCTTAAATAGCGAAAAGAAACAATATAAATAGACAGTGGATTGAAAGTTACAAATATGTTGTTTGTCTCCTTCATCAGGATGCAATATTAAGAGTTCTGCCAATAAAACAGTATTGTACTTGATTATCAAATGTATGTAGAGACCTTCAACTGATGTACAGTACTGAGATAATTTTGTATAGAACAAATCAACATAGATATGAATAACACTGCCCTAAATATATAAAATAGGTGATGTTTTGGCCAATGGCCCTTCATAATAATGAGATATTTTTTAAAGCAGTGTTCTTAATGAATGTGTTGAGTTTTTATGTTGGTTGTGCTTGTACACCACTGCCAACCGAGCATTATAAACAACTGGCATTTAATAGGATAAATATGGAACATAAAAAGTTAAGCTAGCGTTTGTCTGGCATCTCGTGGTGAAAGTAAACATCTTGGTTTCCATCCATTCCACAACGTAAATCAGAAGGGCTGAGACTGATTAAATAATTTTTTTTCAAAACTGCTGTAATTATTACTATTATTTTCGGAGTGCTTGAAATACTTCTGCTTTAGTAATCGTGTAGAGGAGTAGTGGGAGGAAGTGAGGTCAATCGGCAGGAAAAAGTGGATGACGTCATAGCTTGACATCATGTATCCAGAGGGGCAAGGTACTTAGGGGGACCCCGGGGTGAGGGGCGGGGTCGTTGTGGGGAGCCGAAGGAACGGAGGACACGCCGAAACGGAAGACATGCCGCTCAGCACCAAGACCCTCGTCCGAGGAAAGAGTGGGATTAGTGGGGAGCTTAGGTCAGGATAGGCCGAGGAGTTAAGCGGGTACCGGGATGGTCCACGGGAAGGACCAAGTGTAGAAGTACCTACCTCTGGTGTGATCCTGTGATCCTGTACGTGAGTGTGGTAGTTAATAAACTGGCAATATCCCTTACAGAGAATCTCGTCTCCGTGTGAGTTTACACCTCTGCAATTGTATACAATACACTACAGGTCGAGTAAAAAATTACATTTTGATATTTTATATCACTGAAAAAGAAAGGGCATTCCTGACAAACCAATTATTTGCAAGTTTCTGTTCAGCGAGTGGGTACACTGTTTGAGGGATTGTCACAATGCGGGGGTCACAGTTCAACTCATGCATCGTTATTTTAATAGTCTCGTTTTTAACATCTTGCTGGTATTATTTGCATGTCTGTTCTGTCTCATTTCTACCCTAAATGGAATATTTTTTATTTCATTTACATTATTTGCCATAATCCAGCATGCACAGATTATATTTGTAATATATTATTTGATTTGAAGCTTTCGTGACTGCAGGAATCCTTACTCTTTGGTTCTTTCGATAAATACACGTAGGTAGAGAATAATAGATCACGACGTTTCGATCGCAACGTCGTGATCTATTATTTTCTACCTACGTGACTTTACCGAAAGAACCAAAGAGTGTTCAAGAGTTGTTATAACATTTATTCTGTTTCTTATCCCATGCATAAGTTGCATGTTTCCTGGAAGTAAATATAATTGTTTTTCTTCTATCCTAGGGATTTTGCAAACTATTTTGATGAAATCGAGTTGGTGTGCAGGTGCTCGGTGGATTAGTACACGACATGACCATGAGAGATGGCAGCGGCTTGGCGAAGCTTCATACAGCAGTGAATTGACCACGGACGATGATGATGATGATGACAATCACTTGGTGTAACCAATTGCAAACTTGGTAAATAAGTGAAGAATATTTTCAGAGAGATTTGGTGTGGGAGGGGTTTGGTGGTTGCCACGGCTTGCTCACTCGTGCGGAGAGATGAGGGCGTCACTTCAATCTCATTGCCGAGCTGGTATGGGCAGAATCCAGTCACGCCAGCCCTCTCCGCCTCCCCATCGCTGGGGCCCCGCTCAGCCACCCTGCAAGCGGCGGGGGCCACCGTCCCTGGCTCTGGCGCTCTCGAGCCGTAGCTGTTTGAGTCACGACGTGACACCCCCGCGAGCTCGGACCCCCGGAATGAGGACCCCCCGAGCTCGGAGACCCTGCAGGCCATGCCGGCGCCGCCACCACTGGGGAGGGTCTCACTGCTGAAGGCTTCAGGGCTCTGGGTGCCGGCTGAGCTTCCACTGGCGCCATCGCCACCCCGAGGGGGTTCTTGCTCCTCGAACACAGCCAGCAGCTACGTGCACGCACGCACGCACAAACACATGGGGACAATTTCACACACATGGCAGCTACTCGTACATGGACACAAACCCACGGGGACAAGTTGACACACACAGCAGCTACACGCATGCAGACACAAACACACGGAGACAAGTTCACACATGAGGAGGTGGGTGGCCAAGCACACACATCCAGTGACACATATACACATGTCCAAACACATAGATGCATAGACATACTTACACCCACATATATAAGTCCCCAAGAGAAGCAGCACTACACTACAAAACCAGTGACCTGAGTATTTTATCACCATGACCAACATCAGTAATGAACATCTGATATGTGCCTGGTGTGATGTGCAAATATCAGCACTGGCGAAACAAAGGCGGCCGGGTGTGGAGTTTGCCACAACAAAGACAAATATCCCCCGTATAGCCTGTAACATACTGTTGGGGCAAGTGATGTTAGCGAGTACCTATGAAGGCCGGAATGGCACACGAGGTGGTGGGTGGCCAGCAACACGCCGCGGACGCCTTTGTCTCGCAAGTGGCGATGTTTACACACCGCATCAGGTACTCATTTGAGGCTGAGTCGACCGAGGGGTGACCCAGGACCGGTTCAGATAATTGTCACTGGTGTTGGCCGTGAGCGGGAATCGAACTTGGTATGCCAGGTTCGTAGCCCAGTGCACTAACCACTACACTAGCACTCCCCACAACACAGTCTTAGAGCACCGTCTCGGCCTTAATAGGTACTCGCTAACAGAACTTGCTCCAATAACCCAGATATACAAACATACACACACATCCAAAAACCAATACATTCAAACATATGTAGTGCCAATAGAGCCTGCATGCAGTTTGAGTGGACTAGTGGCCACGGAAGGTAATGACAGGGTATCAGTTGTGAGTGCAAAGGGAATGGTGGCTCTTGGAATGTTCGAGAAGGGAGCGTGGCCTCGGTTGGTATAGAAGGGAGATACGCGGGAGACTCGGGGCTGTTGCAGTGGGATCTCTGCCTGATGTCAAATGAATGCGTCTTCAATAAAGTGCCATCTCAAAAAAACTATGTCAAGTCGTCATTACACATACATACACACGTCTAAATACACATGCCGTGTATGTGCATCCAAACGTACACCCAAATGGACACACACACACCCTTAAACAGTCATGCGCACACACGTACAAACAGCAATAATTCGGGCACAGCGATCATAAATGCAGTCATGTTCACTCAGCATTGACTGCGTGGTGGGGCACAGCAAGCAGTGGCAATCACAGCAAGGCACCGGGTCCCTTAGCTTAACACCTCCTGACATTTCATTGCTATTGGTGGACTCTTCTGTTGAACACAATCTTTGACAAAGTGCAGATTAAACAAACCAAACTGAAATATGTGCGGGATGATGAATGTGCAGCAGCGAGACTGTCTCTGGGCTTAAATTCGGAGTGCCCCCCCCCTCCGCTCTCCCGTAGCTCATGAACTCATCTTATCTTCCGCAAGTTGTTGCTGCTGATAATCGTGTGCCTGAGTAATGAATGAGCAATGCTGCATTCTGGCTGCCCCCCCCCCCGCCTCCTTGCGCCTTCCCTAGCTATGCCAATCTAGAGATCCGCAGCTTCTTACCCATAAATATCACCGTTTTAATAATCCCCCCCCCCCCCCCCGTTGCCTTCCTTATTATTTTGAAATTGTTTCCCTCCCTTAATTGTTTAATTGTTGCAATTGATGTTAGGCAGAAAAAAATCCGAGCAGTTATGAGAATCATAAAAATGTCAAAGTAAAAGATTTGTTTTCCTCCATCGTAAAAGCAATTAGGATTGTTATGCTAAATTAATGTTTTTTTTAATCAGGTGGAAAGCAGCGGGGCTCGTTTCGCGTTTTGCAAGATAAACTATCGCTACGTGAAGACCCGAGAGAGATGTTATTCAATTTTATTTTCTGGTAATTGTTGAATTTGTAATTGGGACTGAAACACTGGCAAAATAAAACGTTACTCTTGTGAATGATAATAACCATGTGTCATGTGTAGGGTCCACTTCACAGAAGATTTGTCTCAAGAGTAAAAACAATCATCTCAGTGTCCTTCCTGTTTGCATGAGCAATGTGACAGCAGAGATGAGTCGGTGGTAGAAATTCCACATTACCTTCGTGGGAGAGAGTTTCTACAACAGATTAACAAATCTATTTATTTCCTTCCACACACTTGCTTCCATAGCACTTTTATAACACATTTAAAAATTACCTTTCAGATAACTTTTTTTGTTAATGCATCGTATTGTAATTTACATTCACGTTTTCCATTTATTATTTATAACATTATTTATTAACATTTTTCATAACGACTAACATAATGTATTATTGTGTTGCATATTAATGATTGCTACATCTGCCGACCTATCGTTCTCTGTACATATTAAGTAGAACCGATGTATTGCGAGTCCGATTAACATTCCAGTCGTTTTTATTGTTTGTTCTTGTAACTTTCTGACCCACCCCGACTGGACATCTATGAAAAAGAGATTCATAGCTCATCAGATTTTTCTAGGTTAAATAGAGATTCTGATTATTAACATCCCTGGTCAATGACTGAAAATGCTGAACAAAACGCACCACCTTCGGACGAAAAGTGAACGGAAGGGAGTAACGCGCAAGGGACCGACAATGGCCACATCAATGACCCAAGGGATACCCTTCCTGGCTTCTCACTTCCCCCACAAACTGGACCAAAGTGAATCGCATTCGAACATTGCACAGCCGATGCGCCGACGACTTCCGACGCAAGTAGATAAAAGACGGTTCAACGTGCGACTCTAGAGTGGAACAAACAACGGAACACGTGGTCAGCTGCTCACTGCCCCATCCAGACCATCGGAGGGCAGGGCCCAAATCAATTTATAGACAGTGCCACTGAATGGATAAAGAGCCTCGTAATTTATAATATTTGTTGCCGTTTCCAAAAATCAGTTTCTAATCTCTGTGACTCATCATGCGAAAAGAGGGAGTAGGAGGGAGGAGGAGGGAGAAGGGGGGAGGAGGAGGGAGAAGCAGGGAGGAGGTAGGAAGAGAGAGAAGGGGGTAACATCTTTGGATGCCAAAAGGGCGACGGACCCCAACATCTTCAGGGGCTGGTCAACGTGCTCGTCGGCTATGCCAAGCTCGCCATTTACAATGCGAGGAAGGTGGCCCTGGAGGGGACACGTCCGGCCAGCAGCGTGGGCATCTTCCGCGCTCTGGTCGGAGCCAGGGTGTGGCTGGAGTTCCGCCATGCGCGGCTGACCCACACCGTGCCGGCCTTCAAGGAGCAGTGAGCGATGGAGGAGGCCGTGTGCTCGGTGGCAGATGACGGGGAGCTCTGCATGCTGATATGAGCTACCCGTCGGAGGCCGTTGGATTACGAGAAGGGCTGTGTGCAGAACGAGAGTGAGCGAGAGAGTGAGCGAGACATGGGGGTTAACATAAAGCAAAGTTATAAAAAAGCAAAGTTATAAAAAAGAAAAATTACGAAATGATGAACGAAGCAAAGTGCTGACTACACCGAGCATCTTCTTGTTTCCACAGATCGTAAAAAAGAGAAGGGGGTAAGAGGGGGGAGGAGGGGGGAGGGGGAGGATGAGGGAGAGGGGAGGAGGAGTGAGGAGGAATGATGGAGGAGGAATAAGGGAGGAGGAATGAAGAGGGAGGAAGGGATGGAGGGGGAGGAGTGGGGCTAGCTGCCCACTCTTTCTGTAAAGTGTCTTGAGATGTGGTCACAATTAATAAACTAAAAGATAAATTATTTTCTATTTTACCAATGGCTACTGAGCTATATAGATTTTTTGGAGAAGTGACCTGACCACAAATGATAGCTGAACAAAGTCGCTTATCATGTGGAAATATATACCAGCTAAATACTCTAAATATGCTATGTAGATCCTCAAATTCATTTGTATTGCTGCCATTGTACAAGTACCCCTTGCAAAAATTAACACGTGAATCTCAAGGGTTTAATCCTGGTTGGATAAAGATAAATAAAGTTTGAAGTCAAATTTTTAAGATTAATATGGCCACTGTTGACTTCTCACAAATTGAACATCGAACAAAGACAGTCGCCGCAACACGTGCGCTTTCAGGTTCACTTCTGCGGCCGTCTGGTACGTTCTTTCTTCCGATATTTGGTAGCCAGTGGAGCTATGCACTTTAATTCATCTGGATTGAAGACTCATTTCTTTAAAAATGCTTTTTGCGTTTAGTTTGTTGTCCTTCCCCCACACCTCCGATTAACACGGCTGGCTACATACGGTGCGAAAAGAAGTTCAACATACATACATAGGTCACTGAAATTTGGCCCAGTTAATCCTTTGACTGGGTATTGGACTTATAACCTTCCGAGTATCAGTCCAGCACTCTGCGCACAGTGTCACCGAGCCGAAGTACAAACGCGTGTATTCTCTCATGGAGACGGCCGCACGGATGCGCAGGAAGCAAAGCGGGCAGGTCAGCGGCAAGCGTGCACTCATTGCTGGACTTCTCAGCCTCCCCCGAAAGTATTTCTCGCACTCCCCATCCCCCACAATCGCCCTTCTCCCCCCAACAGAGCCACTTATCCGAGAGAGATTAACTAAAGAGGGCTTCAGCTACGTGCCTGTCCAACACACACACATGGGTGCACAATCACAAATATGGCAGCGCACACACACACTGAAACATGTACAGCCATCCCAAGGCATTTTTTTTAATCACTCGACTAAAACATATTAGTAAAATACAAAAGCTTTAAACAAATGCAGTTCACGAAGGACAGCATATGCATGCATCGTGATTGAGAATACGTACATAGTCCTATATAAAATCGCAAATCTGTCTGTCTGTGTGTGTGTCTGTGTATCGGACCATACGCAGTTTCATTGGACGAAATGTCAGGGATTTGCGAGACACGATTGGTCCGGCGGTTGCCCCTGGCAACGGGTAGCGACGCATTCGCCGCGGGGTGGACGCCATTTTTAATTCCCCTTAAAAATAGGCGCA